TTTTTTAATCGCGCGCTCTGATGGAGAATTAAACGTCCATGTCAACTGCTGAGAGGGTATCCAAGCACTTGCAATAATGGACAGTCTACATAGTCTTCAAACAAGCCAACCCGGCCTAATTCATACACACACACACACACACAAAGATATAGGTCCCCCGTAGAGGCTTTGCAGACGTTTGGGGCAAGTGCTGTTCACGAACACCTATGAAGGTCGGAACGACCCACAAGGCGGTGGGTGGCCAGCACCATACCCGACCGCCTTTGTCTCCCCAGTAGCAATGTTTACACACCACACCGGCTACTCGTTTTAGGCTGAGTCGACCTAGGGGCAGCCCAGGACCGGATCACATAATCACCACCGGTGTTGGCCGTGAGCGGGAATCGAACTCGGGTCGCTGAGTTCATTAGGACAGCGCGATAATTGCTGCACTACCGCTCCCCCACGTGCGCACACGCACACACATACACAGTGACGTCGGCCTTTCGATGCGTTATGTCGATTGCTTGATGCGCTGCTCTAAAGTGCTCTGGGGGGTAACAACACGTGCTTGGTAGCAGGTGAGGGGTCGCGCCGCCCAGCAGCAGCGAGCGGAAAGGCCTGGGCGCTCCCCCTTTGTTATTGTCATCGAAGCCACGCTTCAAACTCTCAGCATGGAATTGTTTTGTGTTGTTATCCGCTGACTTTGTTTATTCACTCCGTAGGCGCGTTGCCTGGGGGTGGAGAGGTGGCGCAGTGGTTATCGCACTGTGCTACGAACCTCGCGACCTCGCGACCCGAGTTCGGTGGTGGTTACCATTGGTGGCGAGTAGTATCTAAACCCAGTCCCGGGTTCCAACTCTCTTTTGACCAGCACTGACCGGCCGCCCTGCGAAGCACGGCCAAACCACCTCCACGACCGACACGACGCGCGGAGGCCTTCGTCCAGCGGTCGGCTGACGTGGGGCTGGGCATTCCTTATTTTCGCAACTCCCCACGTCGCGCATTATTGCACGACGTGGAGGAGGGGGGTAGAGGGGCGCGCAGCCAAAGGAGAGGGACAGGCATCGAAGAGAGGACGTCCACCACATTGACCGAGCGGTGTGCAGGTGCTGGACGGATCGTTACATCGCAGAGCCATGGTAGATGGTGACAGCTTGGGGCGCCCGTCGTCCGGCTGTGGATTGATCGCGTGTGATAATAACGACGATCAATGACGATGGGCTGCTTGCCCCCCCCCCCCCCTCGACCGTTGTTTTTGAACTCGCAACGCCTCCGATTGCGGGTCGAGACGTCTGCCACAGCGGTGATGTAATCAACGTGACGCGAGTTCCGCGATGGATCGCCCTGAGCGAGAGAGGAATCTGCTCCGTTCAGATCTCCGCGCCGAAGTTCACAACTACGATGCCCATCTTTGCACCACCCCTCCCCAACCCCACCCTCCCTGCTCGCTCTATCGTGCCGAAATCCCCTTTCTCGCCGGGTGCGCAATGAGCAATAGGGCAATGAGTCTGCATATGGCGCTCGTGACCTGGCCAGCAGTGGCTGCAGCGGTTAAAGGAGGTTAACGTCGCCCGTCAGATTTGTTTTTGTCCATCTCGTTTGCCGAACGACCGCCATATAACAGCCGCCGCATTTGGCGGCTTTAATGATTCGTTAACCTTTGGCTTCTTTTTCATTTTTCTCACCACCTTTGAGACAAAAAAAATGTGCTTTTCGCATTTCATTCACAAAACGAAAGTCTAAGGCAGAAGGACCGTGGAGCCACGATGACAAATGGTGGCTTCTTGGATGAGCGATCTGCCGTTCAGACCGTTTGCAAACAAGGGAAGGGAGCAATAAGGAGCGGGGGGGGGGGGGGGGGGGGGGTAACCCCGGTATTGGAAAGAGTCGGGCGTGCATTTCCAGGTTATGAAATATTAATGATCTTTTTTATGGTGCAGGGCTCATTAATCTAATATCCACTCAGACTTGTAATGGCTTTCTGTCCTTCGCACAAAAAAGAATCTTAATGAGATTTTGGGGGACCTGTTAATGCAGCGTGCACCATGCGTTACTTGCGTCTCGCGTGAAGTATTATTTTTTGTTTAGTTATTTAAGACGCGCTGTGAAAAATGGACTCGGTGACTTTTAAAACGATGCTCGGCAAATACACACGAGTTGATCTTCGGCTGCCGCATGAATCATTGTGAATCGGAGGAGAGACCCTCCGTGCATGCTTAATGCGGGGACGTCGAGCAGCCATCGGATATGCGCTGACCTTCTGTGACCTGGCAGTGGCACGCTCTTGCGAGCAGCAACAGCGTTGTGCCGAGGCGCAACCGCAGACTGCTCCCTGCTTTATTAAAGTTTAGGTCAAAGCGACTTCCTGCGCAAATGAGCATCGTCACGACAATGTTCGTCACCTGCTTACAGCCGTGAGCCAGCTATAGAAATTCTCCATCTTTATAGCGGGGGTGAGACTCTTACAGGACAACCACTGGTCACTTCCCCACAATGCGGCACTTATTTGGCTGACCCCAGGTGGATGACGAGCTCCAAAACCGCGATTCGAACTCGCAACTTTCCTTATGGCAACACTCCAAATGTTGAGCTGCTTGCTCTACCACTGAGCCGCCAGTGTATCCGCCCCAATGAAATCATCAAAGCAATATCGATCGATGGCGAAACGCAGTTTAAATCTGCTGCTGTAAATAACAATGTTGATACATCTCTCCGGTCGTGGCGGCTAATGGCTGCGTGGTCACGTTTCGCGAACTCTACTTTCACGTTGTCCTCCGCGCGCCCGGCTCCACGGACAAACGTGGCAGTGATTCCCACCGCGTGGCCCACACGGCAGGGTCGTTACAGGCCTCCCGTTAAAGATTGGCAGTAATAATCATAATACATATTTTAGGTTATTCAGCGTCTATCATAACATTTCAAGGAATGGAGCCGAGCGCACCGAGAAGGATTTGAAAACAACAACGAGGTTCGAGCTCAAGTTTATTTTTCTCGAAGTGACTTTCATCGGCTATGTTGAATCGTAAAACATATCTTCAGACTTGCGTCACACAGTCTACGAAGCTGGCCTTAGGTGTCCAAAATAAACTCTGTGCTTTTTTTTCCTTCTCATACAAATGCAATATTAATCAGATTTAAGACAAATGCAATATTAATCAGATTTAAGACCAATAAGTAGGCTCACGTAGAATGAGAATAAAATAATAAATTGATAAAATAAAATAACACAATAATTTTCTCACGACGTTTCGGCCACAACACAAGCGGCCTTCATGTGTTGTGGTCGAAACGTCGTGAGAATATTATTGTGTTATTTTATTTTATCAATTCATTATTTTATTCTCATTCTACGTGACTTTACCGAAAGAACCAAAGAAGATGAATCCTTGCAGTCACGCAAGCTTTAAATCGAAAAATAAGTAGGCTGTAGAGTTCAGGCCCTTGGCTGAATCGGAGGGCAGTTGTCTGGCATTGGTGGGTGCATCGCGGTCAATATTAATCTGTTTTGGTCGTCACGCCATTTCTGTGCCGTATTTCTGCCATCACCCTTCAATTAATTTTGCCCGGCCTAACTGACAACTTATAACGAGCTGAGGCCGTGAGATGTCGATCCTCTGCTGAGATTCTTAAAGTTAAAAATAAATCCAATTTAATTCCGAGCGATAAATGCGCGCGGGCCGAAGGCTTGCTTTGATAACGCCTCACAGCTATATATCATTTTACATCTATATATTTTTTTAAAGATCAATCACATTTCAACTTCTAGCTTCCATTTAAAGGATGACAGCATGGGCTTATTGAATTTAGGTTTGTCAGTGGTTCTCCGTGAGACTCGCTGCGTTCCTTTGTGGCTGAGCTTAATTAATACGACGAGCCGGTTACTTGGCCACAACTTGACTCTCGCGTCCAGCAGCGTTCACGGGCTTCGCCGATTCTTCTTTGACGCTTAACAGTGGCCGTGGTAATCAGTGAGCGTCCACGATATTCTCACGCCCGTGCTTATTGGGGCCCCTTCGCCAGCCTGCTGTAGACGTGAATAACAGATTCGTTGAGAATACTAACTTTTTTGCTATTGCTACCGTGTGGGAATGAAATATCTCGACGTTTTGGCCGGCCGGATGATCTTGAGAGATATCGCAGATGATGAGGTCACCCCAAAACGACTGCAGTGGCCACGAGTTCTCTTGAAACTGCCATGCTGAGATTAATTATCGTCGCGGTGGCGAGATGTTAACTCCCTCGCCTGGCACGTAGGAGTGCGTGGGTTCGATCCCGACCTTGATGTCTATATATTTGGAGTTTTCATGTTCTCCCCTTGGTCGTGTGGAATTTTTCTCAAGGTCCTCCGGTTTTTCCCTCCACATTTAGAAACATGCGTTTAGAGTATTCGGCTGCTATACATTTCCATGTGATAAACCACTTCGTTGAGCTTATCATTTGTGGCGAGGTTGCTTCTGGAAAAGAGCTTTATAGCTCAGTGGGCCTTACCTGGTAAAAGAAAATGAGTTGAGTTTTTCCACTGAAAACCCGAGCCACATCAGGACCATGTCGAGCCAACCTGTCACGGTTCAGACGGCACAAGCTGAGCTGTGCCGCTGACACGCAACGGACGATTCAAGACGTGCGTAGATGACGCAATGGCACTGCGTCCTCGCAGTGTTACGATTGAACACACCGTTCGCCCCACCCCTGGCCCTGCTTGGCCACATGGCATATTCAGATTAGCACGGTTGGTTACGTTACGGTGCGACAGAAGTTCAACATGCGTACGTTGTGAGGCCAGCGCTGTAGCTGGTGGAAAACTACTCGGATGTCCCGGTCGATTACGGAAGCATTAACATTCCACGGGGGGACGCCTCCACTTTTGCAAAGAGGCGAAGGAAACCAACACATCACCTGTTGGCCCGGCGTCGGGCGGACCGATGGCGACGGAGCGGGGGGCGCGGTCGCGACGACGCATGGCATGGGTCGGTTCGCTCACCTTTCCCGAAACCGCGCCGCGCGTTTTGCTGTCGCAGGGAGGCGGTGGACAGGGGAAGCCGCACCGAGTGCCGCGGCCTCGATCACGCCGACCGGAGGAGGGACGCGGCTCCCTCCCTCCTGTCGGAGCCTCTGCCCGACGGCAAGAGAGGTGCGTCTCACGATGGGAGCCCCAGCGGGGTTAGGGTGAGCGGATATTGGTGGAGAGCGGCACTCGATTTGCAGACCTCGGGGAGATGTGACGAGCCGAGTAGAACCACTGCTGGGTGTTTGGCTCGCGACCTTCTGACCTGCAACACAAACAATGCTACTGGCGTGGCACTCGGGACTGCCGATTTCTCCGACCAGCTCGCAGACCCCCCCCCCCCCCCATGCGTACAACGAAGGCCAGGTTGTCACCCACGCAAGTGGCTGACCAGGCTCAGCTCTGCTTCGCTTTCGAGATGCAATCACCTCATCGGGGGTGCACGTTTGTGTTTACGGGCGGCAGATTTGCATCGCGGCGCAAAATTGAATGTCTTTTGAATTGATGCCCTCCCTTGGCAGCGGAGGTGCCACTATAATATTTATTGCATGGAACTTTCATTAATGATTGAGTTGACATTTGCTTACACAACACGCTGCCATCTGTGCCACACATGTCCTCTGTGCGTCTTATGGCACATGCCATGATTGCTTTAACAGGGTAAATTTTTAAATATTAATAATTGATGTCATCTTTATCTTCCTCTCCCCACCCCACCTCCCCCCTCCCCGCCATTTCTTTCCCTCTCCCCGCACTCCTTAAATGCCACCTTCCCTTCTCATCCTGTTCGTCTCTATCTCTCTCTCTCTCATCACTCTCGCTATCACGATCCTTCTTGCTGCACGTGTGCCCGCTATCCATTGGGCAGTGATCATCGTGCCAGTGATGGACAGCTCCGATCAAGTGGCCCTCGTGGTGCTGGTGAGTACGAACATTGTTTTCCCCCGCCGCTCGCCACACATCTTGACACCATTTGAAACTTCATTGTGCCCTTCCCTCACTTAGGCCCGAACAAGGCCCTACAAACTCACTCCCCCCCCCCCACCAATCGAAGTGTGGCGGGCAACAGCACCTGCATGTGAATAATAGGGCACTTTGTCATTTGCGGCAATGGCTCTCAGCCCCGGTCACGGCAGTCTGCACTCCGCTTGAAAAGCTCCCCACTGTGCCTCTCCAATTCTCGGTTCCAAGGTAAATTCGGAACGGGAATGTCAGCCGAGCTCCTCGGCTAGACCCACGCTACGAGTGTGACGATTCATCCCCCGCACCTGCCCAGCGCCATCCCCCCCCATCACCACGAGCTCGTGGTTGTGATTCGAGTTCAGGATCAATTTTGTGTGTCTTTCATTTGTACAGTCACGGCACCTCGACAGCCCTCAAGTCAAATGTAAACTCAAAGTGATTCCTGCTTTAAAAAAAAACATTTAAGTCTTGATTTGAAGCTTTCGTGACTGCAGGAATCCATACTCTTTGGTTCTTTCGGTGAAGTCACGTAGGTAGAAAATAAAAATAAATCACGACGTTTCGATCGCAACACAAACAATAGTCATCAGGTGGGACAACCACAGCAAGAAAAAAAACTGCTGAAGTGCTGAACCACAGCACGTGGAAATTCCACATTCCTATGGCCAGGGCCAGGTCTGTCTATCGGACAACCACCGTTGACTTTCCCCGACAGCGTGGGATTCAGTCGATCCCCTCGAACAGGATTTGAACTCCCGACCTATCCCACTGCGAGCCTCCCACGCTTCACCGCTGGGCCACCGGGGCGCAGATTCACTTCACTGCACGAGCCACAGTGCAGCATTGGCGTGGCGCAGTGCTTGACGCGCCGCAGCAACCCGAGTCTGGTTGTCACGCAAGGTTAACTAACGTCAGTGACGAGTGATATCTCAACCGGTCCTGCCCCCCCCCCCCACTCTTCACCAACCAGCACTGACCGTTAGGGTGATGTATGGGACTCTATTGGCAAAGGGATGTACAAGCCAACGTTGTTATTGTTTTCCACCGTCATCACCGACACAGCCTTACAACAGAACCGGTATGCTGTTAATGCTGACTCGTAATGGAAATTTTATGTTGTTAGGTGGTACGTTTAATTCATTTCCGTGCATGAATGTATAATTCAAAACCGTTTGCCAACGCATTGCTGATTGAAGGGAGGCCTCCCCACGCGTCCACCCGGTCGTGGGAGTCGATTGACCATACTTCACCACGGTGATGAACTTGTTCTAAGGACCCGGATCGGGAAGCACATTCACTTAAGGTCTAAAGCTGCAACCGCCAGCGACACATCGTGTATAACAAACCGGTTGTGCTCCTGAAACAAATGCCAATTGGCACGCGCTTCCCCACGTGACAACTCAATTTGTTTGGCTGTGTCGGGTGGTGGAGGTGCGGTGAGTAGCTCCCATTGCTATTCGACTCACGCGACCTAATCCAACAGACGAATCGTGAATCACAGTCAGTGTGTCTGTGTGTGTTTTAGCCAAAGAGCGGTAGCGTAGTGGTTGGCGCCTTGCGCTACAAACCCCACAACCCAGGTTCGTTTCCCGCTCACGGCCCAACACCATCGACGATTGTTTGAACCAGTCCTGGGCCTCCCCTAGGCCGACTCAACCTGAAATGAGTCCCTGGCGTGGCGTGTAAACACCGCCACGAGGGAGACAAAGGCGGCCGGGTATGGTGTTTGCCAGCTAACAACACTTGCCCCAGCAGTCTGTGAAGGCTATACGGGGGGGGAGGAAGCGGGGATGTTTGTAATTGCCAGTATACATATACGTGGCGTGAATGCAGTTAATTAATAAACGCAATGACATTAAACCAAATCCCACAAAGGTGAAGCCAGCCCTGCGTGCAACAGTGCGCGTCCGGGACGTGCGACTGGATCGGAACGTTCACGCCGCGCTGTCCTTCCGCAGGCGCTCTGCGAGCAGCTGTCGCCCATGGAAGACGCGTCGCTTTCGTTCCTGGAGAAGCACGTAAGCACCTTTCACCTCCTCGTTCAGACGCGAACGGAGGACGCCGTAATCTCTCCTCGGTCGAGGCGTTCAGCTCGCCCTGCGCTCGGCGCACTCGTGGTGCCGTTTTTGTCGTCCGTCGCTGGCCGTGCGTCGCCCGTGACGGATGGGTGACACGCGCGCAGTTGCGTGCAAATGACGATTCCGCGTGAACTGCGCGGTCGCGAGTGCCCGCGCGGGAAAACGACGAAAATTTTGGCGGTCGAAAAAGAAAAAAAGGGAGAACGTACGCGAATTGGTCGATGAAAAGCCTACGGTCCTGCACGCCGGTTGCGAAGGAGTCTGTCCGTTGCGGGAGGTGACTGCTAATGTTTACGTCCGGTTAGATTTGCCGCTTTGCAATGTTATTTCGGCCTTTCCGTCAATGACAAAGTGACGACACCTTCAATGGGCAGAGTGGTGTCCAAGGGGAGTGAATTGTTGTTGTTGTTGTTGTCGTGGGTTTTTTTTATAGCGAGAGAGAGAAATGAGCAAGAGCAACTTCAGAAGAATCCCACGTTGCGTTTTTAAACAGTCCATTATCACAATTTATCTGTAGGACCCTCGGGGGGGGGGCGGGGCGGGGGGGGGTCGGCACAAAGGTCAACATATTTCAACGGTTGCTGCTCGTGTCTTGAAAGATTCGCGCTCTCCGCTGTTGCACCTAATGACGAACGCACTTTTGTCCACGATCCATCCTAATGAGATCCTCGCATCTGTGCCGTGGACCCCTTGCCTTTGTATTATTTTCCCACTTTATGGTTTTTGCTGAACCAATGTGGCTTAAGAAGAGAGCCGTGGGGGGCGTATGGGGGGGTGGTGTATTTCGCGATCCCCCTCCGTGTAGGCGTCGAACGCCGCTAATGAATGGAAGGAGGTGTTTTGCTTCGTTATGCTCACGCACGCAGTGCTTTGAAAATGTGATTAATGGAACGCGCCAGCGTCATGTTTGTATTACCCCCCCTCCACTTCGTCTGCTTGCGTGCTAATGAGCTGTTGATGATGTACTTATCACAGGCACTGTTCAATCCTATAATTTGCTTCTATTACCGTATTCTCCAGGTTATAAGACAACTGCAGAAAGTAACAAAAAAAACGCACTCAAATACTTGCGTCCGATGCCTGATGTTATTTTATTTTTGGCTGAGCGCCTGCATCTCACTGCGCTTAAACAAAGTTAGAAAACCCCTTCTGCAACTTTTTGCTCTCAAAAGACAGGGGTGGGTGGGGATGGGGAAATGGCATCTTAGAATCTGAATATTTACGTCATTTGTATTATTATTATAATTCAGCATTGCGAAACTAATCATTGCAGATTATAAGTGCGGTGATGACAGCGGGTTGCGTTTGATCACCAAATTTAAAGAGTGACATACATCATGCACAGATACAGTGCATTTTGTCAATCGACCGCTGGATGAGGGTCGCGGGGGTTATTTGCCCATCTTTCACCATGCTGGCTGTTTGGTGAAGGAAGGGAGCATAGTACAACAGTGAATGTTGCTGTGCTACCCTCTGCTGCCCACAATGTAGGCCCACCCCACAGCAAGCCTGAGTTTTTGCGGATGGTGTCCGCCCATCCAAGGACTATCCCTGCGTAGTTTCCAAGACGTGATGAGATTCGTAAAAGTCCAGGTGATCATCCTGGAGGTTAAATATCTGTATATATCTGCTAACAATTAACCTCTTTTGTGCGTCGTTAACAAAAAATACCATGTCTGATCTTATAGTATAAGATAAGTGAGGTGGTCGTACAACTTGAATAAAGAAATGTTGTGAATGTTGTCTTCATTATGAATTTTAAAGAATATTATTTTTTTGCATTTCCCCATCAGGTTGCCGTTTGCTACAATCGGATGGCCGCGGTTCCTCGCCCCTCAGCGCAGTCCCACAAGGGCCTCCCTTGTACCCAGAATTCTCTGCCAAAAGCCAGACTGACCAATCGGTGCCAGGCAGGGGACGACAATGACTCGGCAGACCACAAGATCTTGCAGCTCTGCGGTGAGTTGACTCAACTGACTTATTAGTCTTTCGGGATACTGCGTTTGGCAGTGAAGCACACGCAGAATTCAACACGTTGATCAATAATATCGCCCCCTTCAAAGAGGGAAAACGTAATATGGAATGTTTATGACATGTTGGGCAATCGCTCTTCTTCGTGTCAGAGAGAGAGAGATACTCTGCTATGAAAAATGTTTTGTAAACAAACTCATTACACGTTTTTTTTGTATCGCAAAATGCGTAACAACGTATCTAAACAGACCTCCGATCTTCGTCGTCACACGCAAAATAAAGCAGCTGGCATTCATCAGCCTATTGGCTTTCCAGACAAATATCAATCCAGCAACATTTGTTAAAGGCAGCAAACTCTCATTGACCACTTTTGACCATCTGGATGTCATCGGCAGAGTTCAGGCTTGTTGAACAAATGCTGCAGGTCTGTCATGCGCTATATGCTAGAGAACTCCGTCTAAATGATTGGGACCTGTTCAACGTAACAACAACAACAACAAAAACAAGCTATGTCGTACACAACCGCTCTTGCGCGTTGTTGCACAGTGTTATGGGTGATAGAAGAAATATATATACAAGCAGACCTCCGTTCAGTGTCTGAATATGAATACGTTCTGTTTTAGCCATCGGCCTATTGTCAGACTGATCGTCAGTCGTAGCGCTAAAGCAGACAGACGCAGAGTAACTCGTGCAGCTATGACAGCAGGAGTATTTGTCTGCTATATTTTTCCACGTGGTTAAGCCACTTCGTCGAGTGACCAAGTCGCTTCTGAAAAACAGCTGTACAGCTCAGTGGGCCTTACCTGGTAAAATAATCAAAACGTTGTTGAAATAGTTGAATGTCATTTAGGCCTGGGGGCGGGTGGGGGGGCGGGGGCTGTGCTTATTACAACCAAAGTGCTGTCATAGAGCTCTTAAGATATGCCCACACGTGTCTGTGTTTCCACTAGAGATACACAGGGAACCACTGGAATGCCCTTCAGCATTTTGGATCACGTCAGTGATGAACAGCTGTGCTGGGACTAAACAACAGCCAAAAACAATAAAAACGTATAAACCCTAAATTTTGATTTAAAGCTTTCGTGACTGCAGTAATTCATATTCTTAGTTCTTTCGGTAAAGTCACGTTGAAGGGAAACAATAAAATAATAAAAAATATATAAAACAATAAAAAAAATTCTCACGACGTTTCGACCATGACACAAACGGTCAAGGGAAACAATAAAATAATAAAATATATATAAAACAATAAAAAAAATTCTCACGACGTTTCGACCATAACACAAACGGTCGTCATCATTTGACCGTTTGTGTTATGGTCGAAACGTCGTGAGAATTTTGTTTTATTGTTTTATATATATTTTATTATTTTATTGTTTCCCTTCAACGTGACTTTACCGACAGAACTAAGAAAACGTATAAACCCTGTCACACGTTTCCCAACCGAAAAGACAAACAATGGCAATGTTCATCCAGTCGCTTGACGGAAGTGAAAAGGGCCAGGGCTTAATATTTTGTGAGTAGCTGGTAGGTGGTGCGTAAATATCAGCACTGGGGAGACAAAGGTGGCCGGGTGTGGTGCTGGCCGCACTACCCCTTCGTGTGCCGCTCCGGCCTTCATTGGTGATCGCTTTACCAGACAAAGATCCCCCCCCCATATAGCCTCGAACAGACTTTTTTGGGGAAAGCGTTGTTCGCGAGCGCCTATGAAGGCTGGCAAGGCACACGAGGGGGTGTTGGTGTACAACATCGCGCCTGGCCGCCTTTGTCTCCCCCAGTGCCAGTATTTTGCACACACACCACACCAGGTACCTTGGGGAGGCCCAGGACCGTTTGGGATAATTCTCACCGGTGTTGGCCGCGAGCGGGAATCGAACTCGGGTCCGCCGGGGTTCGCAGCGCTAACCGCTGCACCACCGCTCCGCTCCCCACACCGAGCTAAGACAAAGGCGCGGACACGCGGGCAAAATGAGCGCATCGCAAGTGAGGTGTCGGTGGAGGTGTGTCTCGGACACGGTTCACGTCGTTCTGAACCGACTCCACGGGCAGGGGGTGGGGGCGGCGGCGGCGGTTGGCACGGGGGCCACCGTCTCGGTCGTGAAGCCCTCTGAACGACGGACAGTGACGGGGGGAGGGGGTGGCGGGGCGAAAGGTGGCAGAGGGGTGGAGAACAGAGAGGGTCAACAGATGCAGGCAGGGGAGGGGGTGACAGCACCTTTAGCAAACCCCCTTCACCCCCCCTCCCCCCTAGGTGGGATATTAATTACCCGGGAGCTGTAGAAGCTTTGCAGATGCCGACAACCGCAAATGTCAGTTCGGGCGCTCGGGGGAGAGGTGTCTGTGTGTGTGTAGATCAGGTGATAAGGATCTGCTAGCGGGGAAGCACCCTATCGTGTGTGCCATCTAAATAACAAAGCTTCTGTCCGTGGACGTGAAGGCTTTGCCCAGGGCTCATTACGCATTCCGTGTAGTGGCCATGGTCGCTCATATAATTTTTTTTGTGTGGCGTTGTTTGTTTTGGTTTATGCATGCACGCACCACCCTCCCACAAACAAACACTCGCGCGGGCACACAAATGACAAAGATCCCTCGCGTAGCCTTAACATATTCTTGGGGCAAGTGCTGTTCGGGAGCACCTATGAAGGTCGGATCGGGACACGAGAGGGTGGGTGGCCAGCACCACGCCTGACCGCCTTTGTCTCCCTAGTGGCGATGTTTACTACAAACCGCACAAGTTACTCATTTGAGGCTGAGTCTACCTATGGGAGGCCCAGGACCGGTTGAGATAATCGTCACTGGTGTTTGCCGTGAGCGGGAATCTAACCCGGATAAAAGGGTTCGTAGCGCAGCGCTAATCGCTTTACTACCGCTCCCCACAACAACAACAACAACTGCCATTCGCCACTAAGTGGCGATGACATCACCACGACGCTTGTGCCAGGCTATGTGCACCTTGAGGCCACGTGAAGTGTCGAACACCCGCTGGCAGGAGGTCACGGGACAGACCCAGGTGCCACGGGTCGACTGACTGAGATGACTGCTCCCCACATACACAGACACACAACACACACACACACATCCACACTGCCCGTTGCCTCCAAAGATTTAAAATGTCACCGCATCTGAAATTGTGATATTATTTATTCATGTATTGATTTCTTATTTATTTTCTTGCGTTTTATTAATTTATTATGTAAGGCTCTAAAGCGTTGCATTTTAACGTAACTTTGCATCGGCAAAACGAGAGAAGGGGCCCAACTTTTGGAGTGCGTTGCCACTGTTGATTTTATGTTGGTTAACTGAGTCTGTTAAATTACTTTTCTTTAAATAAAATTGGCTTTTAATGTATTTTCTTAAGCAGTTTCAAAGTCTCAAAAGCAATTGTCGATCGGCCATCTGAATTTTTTTATTGCATTATATTTTTCCTTTCCTTACTGTTTGTTAAAATATATATTATTTGGTTGGCGAGGCGATGTTTTAAACATATTGCCCATAAAAAATATATATTCTAAGATTTATACGTATGTAAAAAATAAAACGTTATTTTACATTCCTATGATCCAGGTAACACTTTAACAAATGTCACACAGGAAAATTAGATAGTCGGTGAGGATAACTCATTAAAAACCAGCAAACAACACCTGGCAAGATATATAAAATAAAATAAATAATGAGAATACATCACATATCTCTCAACAGTTCCATTAGGTTTCAGTGGCATAATATCTGATAAGTATTTTTTTCCTCATTCTTTTATTTTCCTCTCGGTGCAGTGGTAATTACGGCATGTGTCGGATGGAGAGATGCGCTGAGGGGCATTACGGAGTCCAACATCGAGTCGCCTTTGATGGGGCTAATCTAAAGGGGCCACAAGCATTTTCAGGCTTTTCCGTGGCACATTAGCGGAGCCTGGAGGATGCTGACATTAAAATGGCTTTTCTTGTCACCTTTTGTGAGACTGTTCCGCGCTCTAAGTGTCGAAGATAATACAAGCTCGTCAGCCCAGAAGCCACTTATGCATATGAATGGGAACGTTCGATACGGCACTCTGCGAATGGAGACTACATTTCAGTGGTATAAATAATAATGATGCAAAATTCGAAGTGGCTAAGGAGCACTTTTACTTTAGTAGTTTAATGCCAACGATGAAATATTAAACCACAAGAATTACGGGGGGAATGGTAAACACATGAAAATTGAGATGCATTTTTTGTTTGCATGGAATGCTAAGTGCAGTTGCAAGATTACTTTTTTGTTCGATTTTTTTTTGGGGGGGAGGGCGGGGGGTGGGAATTAGTGGAGTTGTTTGCACACTGCGCTATGTACCTGGTAACCTGAGTTCGATTCCTGGCCACTGCTAACATCGGTAGCACGTTATATATGAAACAGTCATAGGTGTACCCTCTTTCACCAACCTACACTGACCATTGCGGTGAAGTATGGTCAAGTGACCTCCTTGACCAACAAAGCATGGGGGGAGAGAGGGGGGTCCTTCGTCCAGAAGTGGATTGGTAATGACTGAAAAACACTTGCGATATATTTGTACATAACAAGGGGTAAATATGTTTCGGCATTGAAGGTATGCGCCGTTATTCTGCTTAATAACAGCGATCTTTTACACCAATTTAAGTAAAATAATTAGCTGATAAACATCAAACTTCAAAATAGGTCTCACACTATATTGACGCGACTTGCTTTAGTGTCATTTATGCGATATGTAGATCATCACATCTCATGTAAGCCTGCAATTAATTTTAGCCGAATCTGTCTTTGTCGGCGAAAAATATTTATTCACACGGCACATTACATCCAGTATACCTTGCGCTATGGCTGTGGCTACTAGTTGCACGCTGACTTCAGTCTACCAGCGATGCAGAAGTTATTGAGAAATTGAGTCGTGCATACAAATATTGGGGGGGGGGGGGGGGTTGACGCACGGTACTTCCCCCCACCCCACCCCCAAAGAGAAATGTAACGTTTCGTATGAATAATCCTGCAGTTGTGTGACTTTCAAGGGATCAGTTTATCGATAAAATCCAAGGCGTCCAGTTTATCAACAGGCATCACCGACGCCTTCACGTTTTATGGCTCTCATGTCTGTCTGCTAACCTTTAGAAGCGAGCACATGGGTAGCCCCTGAATGTATTATTATTGGCACTGTTCAGTCTGTCTCTCATCACTTTACCAATTACATGGATATTGGTTGATGCTGTAGATGACATTAAGGGATAAAGGATTAGTCCGTAGTCGTTGCACCTGCTGCCTCTTCTGTCTGGCCAATTTTATTATAACGCTGAGGATGAGACAAATTGCTCTCACCTGCTTCGAAGTGTAAAGATTCATGACTGCTGGTGGAGACCTGTGATGAATTTAAAAACAACGCAACGCATTCGTCAATAGCACTGTGGCCTTAAAAGGGGAAAGTATAGAATAGGCAACATTTTGACCCAGTGGTCCTTCTTCTCAGTACATTTAGAGGCCAGAACGGTCACCAGACTTCATCAGAGGTCATCTCTCTGCACTTTTGAATGTATAGAAAAAAAGTCTTTTACCATGTGAAACTAAAACGAACGAACCGTTTTTGCCTATTTTTCGTTTTTCTGCCCAGGAAAGTGGTGGCATTACTGCATAGAGATGTGTTTTGCGCTTGTGCTGTATCGCTCTCCTCAATGTTATTTTGTTGTTTGGGATCGTACTGCGTGTTGCTTGCAGTGAAGTGCGACGTTTCGCTCCACGTGCCGGAAACTTGAATTAATTTCCTTAAGTAGCTCCCAGCACTGTAAGCGAAACGTCGGACATCATGCCAAACGACAGGTGCGGTACTACCCGAAAGCACTTCAGAGAGCGAAAAACACTGCTTCTGGATACAAGCCCCAGTGACCTCCCCTCACGGTACAGATTTCCGTGATTCACTGTGTAAGAAAACAATGTTGTTCCTGGGTAGTAAGTGTTATTTTCTAATTGCTTATGCCTCAAAAGTACAGAATGTGGCTATTGTTCCCCACAAACTTTGCTTTTGTGACCAGGACAGTGATGAAGGCCGCTTGTGTTGATGAAGGCTGCTTGTGTTGTGGCCGAAACGTCGTGAGAATTTTATTGTGTTATTTTATTTTATCAATTTATTATTTTATGCTCATTCCACGTGACTTTACCGAAAGAACCAAAGAACAGGACAGTGATATTTTTTTTATTTACCTATTTTCAATGAGAAAACGTGGTGTGCATTTGTGTCATTCCTTCACGTGAAGTCCCGGTCACAAAAGCAACGTTTGTGGGGAATAATATCCATTTCCTGTACTTTGGAGGCATAAGCAATTAGAAAATAACACTTACTACCCAGGAACAAAAATCGTGTTACATAGTTACCAACCATCAGGTGCGTGCAGTGTGCAGGGGGGCTCCGTGTGCATTTGTAAATTGACAATCAGCAAGAGGCGGGACCGTGGAGGCATCGCGAGGGCTGAACTTTAGAAATGTTGGCCTAGAAAGTCCCAAGGCTTTGTGGCAGCGGTCTTCATTGCAAAGCCCGCGAGCCACTGGTGGCCTTTACTGCGGCCCCTGACGCACCCCATCGTGCCGCTGTCAAACCCAGCGGTTTCAAATGTGTCGCCGCCCTCACGCCGGTGATCTTTTCGGCGACAGTGGCCCCCCTCTGAAAATGAGTAAAGAACTCTGCTTTATGGTCGAAACATTTTTTTTCTTCTAAATTTTTCAATGTCGATATTGTCCGGTTGTTATATGATTATTCTTTTATCAGCAGAAACACACTTGTAAAATTAACAACCGCGCTTATAATTTAATGGTTTTGCATTTCTGTTCGGCACACGTAACATCGTGCGTCTTCATCGTTGACATCTGCACATCCTTATCGGGCTATTACGACGAAGTTATACGATTACAATTCCCATTAATGTTGCATTTAAATGCAACTGCACTGTACAAAACAGTGCGGCACGTACAAAACAATGCGGCACGTTCATCATGGGGACAGAGAGGCATATATTTAAAATATAAGTTTACGATAAAAGACAAATATTTCAGTCCGTTTTCACTCCACTGCTGGACCAATGGCTCCTCACGTAGTGTCAATAATGGGATGCTTGTATGAACCAAATTTTGCCTCGCTGGTCAATGCTGGTTGGTGGACGCAATGGACATACACTTGGGAGCATAGCGGAGTTACAACAACAGTCCTCTCGGCCCTCAACGCGGCACAGCCCAACAGCGGCCTATAACACCCGTTGTATGCACAGTGAGCAACCGACCAAAGCCCTGTCGCGGCTCAAATCCACGCTGAGCTTCGCGAACAGCAAAGCAACAACCACGGTGAAAGTGCAACGTTGGGCCAACGTTGGCTCGTGGTCGGAGCCGTCGGACCAAAGTTGGCCCAACGTTCCGTGTTTACCGAGACGGCGTGATGAATTCCTGAAGCTGGAACGAAGCGTCTTTCTGTTCCTTGTGTGATTTGGAAGTTCAAAGTGGTGGTGTCGATGCTTTCTACTTTGGTTGCATCTCGTCCTGTTCTCTCTTCACAGGGGAACTTTATGACCTCGACGCGGCCTCCCTTCAGCTGAAGGTCATTCAGTTTGTAAGTACGCGTGCGATGAGAAGTAAAACCCAAAACACATGGACCTTGGCACAGATAGCACACCCATACCCAGCCGGGGTGTCAATTCAATGCTTACATTTCGCGTTTTAAAGGGTGTTCTTTTTTTTGTGTTAAATCTGTCTCGAAATCATCGTGATTATTTCTTATTCTAAAAAAATCCAAAACACTTTGTCAGTAAAATGACGGGAACGCCTCGTTGCAGCGGGAACACACGTGGAGGAGGCTGGCAACGATCAGACTGAACAACACTTTGAGGGTGTGCCGCTCGCAAGCAGCTGGAAGGCGCGATCCGCTGTCGTGGCTTTCCTCCCACGCCGTGTGGCCACCACGTTGTGTGCGCCACGCTCTTGGTGGGGGCGAGACGTAATCTCCCTCGCATGCTGTAAAAGGAGGTCGTGGTTTCGATCCCGAACCTCTGTATATTTGGAGTTTGCATGCTCTCCACGTGGTCAGAGTGCATTTTTTTTTAATCCGGGTCCTCCGGTTTTTCCCTCCACAATTAGAATAAAACGTGCGCTTAGAGCATTTGGCTGCTATCAATTTCCGCACGAAAAGCCACTTTCGTTGAGCCATCATTTGTGGGCAGCTCGCTTCTGAAAACTAGCTCTGTAGCTCAGTGGCCCTTACCCAGTAAAATAAAAAAATGTGTTTAATCGTAGTTTAGCTTAGCTTTGCCTAAGCCACAGAGCTCAAATAAGCTGAATGTGTGGTCATGTTGATTGGGTCAGAATGTGGCCGTGTCAACAGGCATGTTTTTTTCTTTTCTCTGCTTACCACTCTGGAGGGGGGGGGGGGGGGGGGGCTTGCGAGGGGAACAAGAAAAAAATGCTGAATATTTTGCGCAATAAATCCGCCTGCAAACATTACGCGTGTAATTTGAGCAAACAGAATGTGTTGGGTGTCTAATGAGAACCAAATGAAAAGAGGGTAGTGGTGGAATAACGGAGGGTGATGTTTAATGTGCCTATTTCTTTTGGGATACGGAGTAGATGTGCCTTTGAGGCTTAAACAGAGGCCCTAATATAAACATCAGAAATGCAATTATCCGCTGCCGAGTAGGACCATATTACCCAGTTATAAATTCATGATAATAATATGATGTTGCATTAAAATAGGTGGATCGAGCAAACACCTGTGTTTTATATATAATTCTGGTAAAAAACGAAATTCTTAATTCAGTATTAGAATTCCACCAAAATAATGTAATATTTGTGCATAGATTATCGTCACTTTGCTAATTAATTATATTTGTATTGGCCGATGAAATAGATAAACAAGTAACTGCAGTATTTCAAGAGACAAAGACACAGTCACACATTGCGATCCGGACTCCCAACAGTTTCCAGCAGTGTCTTTGAACTCAGTTCATTTCTGTAACCAGGAACGACGAAAAACATTCCACGAGCCACTCTTCCAATTAGGCAGTAATTTCTCTTCCTCTGCAATAATGGCACTAATTTAATAAAACCAGAACAGTGTGCACATTTCGCTGAACGTGAATATGCCCAACCATAGCTTTTATAATCTTTTCCTTCTTCCGAGCCACAAATTACATTACTCCGCAGGCTTGGCTGCTCGGATTTATCTCTCCGTGTGAGTCTATTACTGTGCCTCTTCGTAAGTCGCATCCACTGTGAAAACTTACAAGACTCATAGACGCAAATATACTGCCATGATCCATAGCCTTGCATAGACATTCATAGCCTGCTATAGAGACTCATAGACGCACATGCATCGAAATAATTCACAATCTTACATTGAGACTCATAGACACACATACACTGACATGATCAATAGCCTTACATAGATATTCATAGCCTTGCATAGAGATTCATAGATGCACATACACTGACATGATCCATAGCCTTACACGGAGATTCATAGAATTACATAGAGACCCAGAGATTTCCATTTTCTTCTCAGCAAAAATGTCCCATTATCTGGGTTTGGCTGTGCCAAGTACTCCCTGTCTCTCTAGTCGTGTCCACTATCATCGTGTCTCGTTCCACCCCATCCTTGCATTACCCTCGGTCTCAATCTATACCTCCTGCCCTGCGCTGGTATCTCATTGTATTACAGAGCTACGTCTCAAAATACCGACACGGTAAGCTTTTTTTTTATATATATAGTTTCTTAAAATCCAAGTGAAAATCCGGTCCCCTTCGTATGGACTGTTGAATCCGTAGTTTATTCCCCGGGCAGGATAGCAGTCGACTCATCGTTGCACGGAGGTCTGCGGACAAGCTTGCGTCGTTATCGCAAAATCGATCGTTGCGGAGCGAAGCAACGCCGGGCTCTCCTTTAGTAAAACTCCCATCACGTCGTCGTCGGTGGTGGAGCCCTCCTGTAAATGCCGCAGCCTAAACAAACGCCACTGAAGCGTGCGGCGGATGAACGAACACGCAAGGGCAGAGGCGGGGGTGGGTGCAGGGTCGGGTGAGTAAGGGGGGGGGGGGGTGTGTGGAGGGTTACTGCGAAATCTTTTGAGATTTACGGGGTTTCTTCACGGACGGCGGTGTGTGTGTGCGTGCGTGCGCGCGCTGGCTCTCCGTGCTGGAATAGCGGCCAGGGTGGGAGTGGTGGACGCCGGTTGTGTGTGTGTGTCTGTGTGTCATACTGTGTGGGGAGCGGTAGTGTAGCGGTTAGCGCGCTGCGCTATGAACCCGGCGATCCGGGTTCGATTCCCGCTTACGGCCAACACCCAGTGACGATTATCTGAACCGGTCCCGGGCCTCCCCTAGGTCGACTAAGCCTCAAATGAGTACCTGGAGCGGTGTGTAAACATCACCACTAGGGAGACAAAGGCGGTCGGACGTGGTGCTGGCCACCCACCCCCTCGTGTACCGTTCCGGCCTTCGGAGGTGCTCGCTAACAGCACTTGCCCCTACAGTCTGTTAAGGCTATATGGGGGATCTTTGTCTTTGTCATACTCCTATGACCACCGTGGACCGTGATCCCCGTGTCCCCCACAGAGTCACGCTTGGGAGCGCCCCCGTGACTCGAGCGCAATCATTGGGCCACGGTTTTCTTGAAACGTGGTGGCGGATTCGCGAGCAAAATCGATGGTTGGAGGCGCTCCGGCATGGGCACGAGATTTGCGCTGAGCTACAAGCTCAGAGGGGCGATTGTCAAAAACTTAAGGGCCTTTATCCCCCACCTGCTCTTCAGCTTCCGCTCTCGTGTTGGATATTTCTTTTATAGATTTGTGACCGAATTGTTTAATGTCCCCACTTTCGTCGCCGTCGTTACTGTGGATTCTGTTTTTTTTAATGAATCACCAAAAAAAGATAAAAGTCATTTTAACGAAGTGGGGTTAATGGCAGTAACATTCAACTGAAAATAAACTGAACATTTGTCTTGATTTGAAGCTTTCGTGACTGCAGGAATCCATACTCTTTGGTTCTTTCGGTAAAGTCACGTAGGTAGAAAATAAAAGAAATCACGACGTTTCGGGCACAACACAAGCGTCCATCATCAGGTGGTCTGCTGCTGAGACTTTACCGATAGAACCAAAGAGTATGAACATTTGTCATTTAACTTTTTTTTACTTGCTACTCTCCTAAAACTCCTGTTTTTACCCCACTATAGTCATTCCCACTGTAAATGCTGCTGCAATTCGGATATCGCTGCACAGACACCACCTCTGTTTAAGTCGAGGCTCAATTCCATCCTCTTATCCCCTGGCTACGAGTGACTTTCTCTTCTCTCTGAAGTATCTTAAACTGTGCCTTCATCAAAGCATCATCATCTCCTTACCCCACTCTGACCCGCAGCTCTCCACTCCCTCCCATTCTAATTTGAACTCCTCCTCTCTTCCCAAGCCTTGTCAATGTGCATGTCTCGCCTATTCTGGAGGATTCTTGCGATATCGTCAAAATGCTACGCTTTGTAAATCTGTATTGTTGCCCTCTGTGCACGCGTGTTGTTTTGCCACTGTACTTTTGAGTCGCCAAAACCTTTCTCGCACAATCGCAGACGGCCGATGACATTTATCGGCCGATGCACGTTGCTCACCACCGAGTAGCATTGTTAGCACACAAAAACACAAGCACAAACAAAAACACAAGCGCACACAAAAACACAAGCACACACAAACACACAAAAACACAAGCGCACACAAAAACACGAGCGCACACAAAAACACAAGCGCACACAAAAACACAAGCGCACACAAAAACACAAGTGCACACAAAAACACAAGCGCACACAAAAACACAAGCACACACAAACACACAAAAACACAAGCAAACACAAAAACACAAGTGCACACAAAAACAAGCGCACACAAAAACACAAGCGCACACAAAAACACAAGCGTACACAAAAACACAAGCGCACACAAAAACACAAGCACACACAAAAACACAAGCGCACACAAAAACACAAGCACACAAAAAAACACAAGCGCACACAAAAACACAAGCGCACACAAAAACACAAGCGCACACAAACACACAAAAACACAAGCGCACACAAAAACACAAGCACACACGAAAACACAAGCGCACACAAAAACACAAGCACACACAAAAACACAAGCGTACACAAAAACACAAGCGCACACAAAAACACAAGCGCACACAAAAACACAAGCACACAAAAACACAAGTGCACACAAAAACACAAGCGCACACAAAAACACAAGCACATACAAACACACAAAAAAAGCAAACACAAAAACACAAGCGCACACAAAAACAAGCGCACACAAAAACACAAGCGCACACAAAAACACAAGCGCACACAAAAACACAAGCGCACACAAAAACACAAGCACACACAAAAACACAAGCGCACACAAAAACACAAGCGCACACAAAAACACAAGCGCACACAAAAACACAAGCACACACAAACTCACAAAAACACAAGCAAACACAAAAACACAAGCGCACACAAAAACACAAGCACACACGAAAACACAAGCGCACACAAAAACACAAGCGCACACAAAAACACAAGCATACACAAAAACACAAGCGCACACAAAAACACAAGCGCACACAAAAACACAAGCGCACACAAAAACACAAGCGCACACAAAAACACAAGCGCACACAAAAACACAAGCACACACAAAAACACAAGCGTACACACAAAACACAAGCGCACACAAAAACACAAGCGCACACAAAAACACAAGCACACACAAAAACACAAGCACACACAAAAACACAAGCACACACAAAAACACAAGCACACACAAAAACACAAGCACACACAAAAACACAAGCACACACAAAAACACAAGCACACACAAAAACACAAGCACACACAAACTCACAAAAACACAAGCAAACACAAAAACACAAGCGCACACAAAAACACAAGCACACACAAAAACACAAGCGCACACAAAAACACAAGCGCACACAAAAACACAAGCAAACACAAAAACACAAGCACACAAAAAACACAAGCGCACACAAAAACACACGCGCACACAAACACACAAAAACACAAGCGCACACAAAAACACAAGCGTACACAAAAACACAAGCACACACAAACACACAAAAACACAAGCGCACACAAAAACACAAGCACACACGAAAACACAAGCGCACACAAAAACACACAAAAACACAAGCGCACACAATAACACAAGCACACACAAGCGCACACAAAAACACAAGCACACACAAAAACACAAGCGCACACAAAAACACAAGCACACACAAAAACACAAGCGCACACAAAAACACAAGCGTACACAAAAACACAAGCACACACAAACACACAAAAACACAAGCGCACACAAAAACACAAGCACACACGAAAACACAAGCGCACACAAAAACACAAGCACACACAAAAACACACAAAAACACAAGCGCACACAAAAACACAAGCACACACAAGCGCACACAAAAACACAAGCACACACAAAAACACAAGCGCACACAAAAACACAAGCACACACAAAAACACAAGCGCACACAAAAACACAAGCGCACACAAAAACACAAGCACACACAAAAACACAAGCGCACACAAAAACACAAGCGCACACAAAAACACAAGCACACACAAAAACACAAAAACACAAGCGCACACAAAAACACAAGCGTACACGAAAACACAAGCGCACACAAAAACACAAGCGCACACAAAAACACTAGTGCATACAAAAACACAAGCACACACAAAAACACACAAAAACACAAGCGCACACAAAAACACAAGCGCACACAAAAACACAAACGCACACAAAAAAACGCAAGCACACACAAAAACACAAGCGCACACAAAAACACAAGCGCAGTGATGGAACTCAGATGTGCACAATCGATGAGAGGATAGAGCTGAGAACCAGTCGCTTGCCTACGATGAAATTGCTGCGATGTATCTCAGAAGGTTTGAGCCTCGTTAGCAATTGGACGGAAAAAATTGCCTGAGAATACTGGGTATTGTAGACGTGGGCTTTTGGGAGGGCAGGTGACAAAAGCATGACAGTCCAGCTGTGGATTCTGTCATCCCATCCGTGCAGTACTTTAAAGTGACATCATTGTGCAAGCTTATGTTTTCTCCAGCTTCTTCATTTTCCACCCGCATGAGGTCGAACATCCCGATGTAGCAGCACCCTCGTGAAACACATTTTTCCGACTCACGATTTGGCATGCACCACGGAACAAACAAAAAAATAAATGTTCCCCTCAACATCTACCCGACGCGATTTCGGATCGTACCGCGCGCCGTTCGCCACCGTTTCCGCGTGCTGGGAGCTTCTTCAGCCAACTGCGTCCGAGTTGCTGATGAAGCTCCCGGCGAACGGAGTGGAACGTCGGACGTCGTTCCGAACAGCACGCGGGGAGGTGGCGACCCGACAACGGAGGGGAGAGCTGAGCGGCAGCTCAACGGCGATGGCGCTCACGCCCGCGCACGGTGGTAACGTCCTCCCCGTGTCCGCGGTGTTGCTTCCTCCCCCCCCCCCACAGCTGCAGCAGGAGACGCAGTCCGAGTGCTGCTGCCTGCTGCTCGTCTCGGAGGATGCCAACCAGCTCTTCTGCCAGGTGCGGATGGCGCAGGAGGCACCACCACATGCTGTGGGGCGTGGGGGGAGGGGGTGGAGTGGTAATTTATCAAATTTGACAAATTTGGACAGTGAGCCCCGGCACGTGATGGCCTACTCTTACTTGCGAATGACATCTCCCAACGTCTGCCGCGAAGCAGACGACACGTCACTTTGCGGACGGTTACGCACCCGCGGTCGTGTTCAGCCCCCAGAGAGTGCAACCTCTCGAAGCCAGGTCACGGTGAGGCAGCGCAAGGTCGTCATTAGCGCGGGCGCGTGTGGCAAGCGGCGGGTGCTGGGCTGGGCCCCGCACCACCAGATGTCCCTTTGACACCACCCGAGTTCGCCGTCGGTGACTCGCTGCGATGGTCGCCCCCACACACAACAGCTTTACTGCCCCCTCCACCACTCTCCGTGAGAAGTTGGAGCCGGGCCTTGGCCCGTGCCCATGGGCACGTCCAGCACGTGCTCTACTGGTGGCGACCTTGCGACATGTGTATTTTTACGCGGATTATTTAAAGCCAATTATTTCATTGATTAAATTCATTTTGAAATGTGGTGATGTTTTTCGCTGGCCGCCCGTTTGCCTCCCGGTCGCCCTTGAGCGAGAGGCGCCGGGGCGTCATTCGCCGTGGGCCATGTTTCAGCCGTGCCGGCCAGGCCTGTTGGTGCAGCAGGTTTGACTCTCGCGCGCGCGGGGTGGTTTTTAGTTTCGCTTTGAGAGGTCGCCGCTTGTTCACATCGCGGCGATTCGCACGTTCGGCGCAGCGACTTCTCGACCCTTTGTGCCGGAACGGGCGCACAAATCCATGGCCGTCTGGCTGCGGCCGTTTTGTTGCAAAGAACTGGGGAGAGAGCGACGTTACGGTTGGGTGCAGGATGGAGGTGGAGGAGGGCACATTTAGATTGTCTAATTTCCAAACGATGCGACGAGGTTATGTTTCAGAGACGTTTTCTTTGGCGGTAGCCGCTGCCGACATTTTTCCGTTGGTTTCCTTTCAGAACGGGAATTCTGGAGCCTCACAACCTCGGGGATATGAATGACGGGAGTTCGTTTCTTGTACAAACAAATGCATTAATGTTGTTGTTATTAATAGGTTAACTTACACTTAGTGAACTTATTGGTGTTCTGTACGCAAAGGACAAAAATAGTAAGGGATAAAAAGAAAATTAAGACATTGTATTGTTGTTTGTGGCACGCAGACGCAACTCATAATACACCCACAACATTAATCAATAAGTTGGACTGCGTGAGGTGGACGTTTCAGGCAATGGTCCTTCAGAGTGAAGGACAAACACCACGCCGAGTTTGTATACCTTTAGACTAATGCGATGAATAGACAAAATAAACAACACGCAACACAAACACACACACACGCCGATTTAATGAGACAGTACAAACGAGACAGAACAGTGACAATGCATAACTGATTAAGTGATGCTTTGGGGGGGGGGTAGTATGTGTGTGAAATTAAATCTTTTAAGCCTCGCTAGTAATGTTTGTAAACATCATTAAGCCAACTCTTTTGTATTTATCCTCGGACTCTCTGATGTTCTCTTCATCGTTATTTCGCCCCATCCTTTGTTGTAGGATACGACTTAAATAAACACCCTGTCGTTCCTATTCAGATGCTGGCTACGGCTTTAAAGGGCGGGGGAAAAAAAACACTCTCAATCGAACCGTGGGCTGAGAAATATATATTTTTTTAGCCTTTGACCCGGAGTTTGTTGTTTAGTGAGCGGAGTGTGAGCGTGCATCGTGTACCAATAGCCGCGAGCTTGTCTTCTCCCTCTTCAGGTTGTTGGCGACAAAGTTCTGGAGGAAGAAATCAGCATTCCGGTAAGTTCCGGTCGCCGCCGGCGCAGAAATTTGCCCCCATGCACGGTGACCGGGACGTTCGCTTCGTTTGCGAAACGTGCGTCTTGCTTCGGCGACACATTGGTGTGCGTTCATCGCGGAGCGTGAGACACATTCATCGGTGTGCGTTCATCGCGGAGCGTACGAGGCAAACGCGATTGTGAAGCGCATCTCTTCGGCAGCATTGTGTCAACCGCAAGCCCAAACTCTGGATCGGCTTTGACATTCAGCGTGACGTCCACCAACAGGTGTCGGGCTTGCTTGAAACAATGCTGGCCGACGGGCCGAGCTTCAAAGGCGAGGGATCTTTCCGTTAGAAATCGGTCACCGTGGATAGAATTAGCTACAAAATAAACAAATTATTGGAGGGGCAGTGGTGCAGTGGTTAAGCGCCGCCCCCACCAACTCACCTACCCCACCCTCGCACCATGAACCCGATGCCCTGAGTTTAATTCCCGGACACAGTTAACATCACTGGGGAGCGATATCTGAACCAGTCCTGAGCCCTTACCACCTCCCCAACCGCATTCCTTCACCGACCTGCACTGACCAGCATGATGAAACATGGTGCAATAACCCCCACCATGACTTACGTATCACGGGGAAGCCTAAATCGAGCAGTAGATTGTCAAAGGGCTGTATGTTACTTTTAACTCTGGGGCCTTTTGATACTGGCAAAAAAGGTCCCATGTATAACTGCTCAACCACAGCTATTACTAATTTGATACTTGCATTGCCTTTCTTACTGTTTGCCTTTTGGTGTTCTCTGGCCTAACACCGGTGAGACTAGGTCATGAAGAAGGCTGTCGCTGGTGTAGACCAATCCGTGCCAAAGACAAAGCATATATTACATTTTAATTTAAAGCTTTCGTGACTGCAGGGATTCATATTCTTGGTTCTTTCGGTAAAGTCACGTAGAAGGGAAACAATACAGCAATAACTTATTTGATGTTATTGTTTCCCTTCTACGTGACTTTACCGAAAGAACCAAGAATATAAAACATGTATTATCAGAGCATTTTTGTTGGCACGTTTTGCCCCAAGTATGTCTGCTTAATGCAGACTTGATGCCCTGAAATAGGGGTCTATTTGGTGTATGAATGTCTCAACACCCCCCGTTTATTTTGCCAGAAAGGGTAAAGCCTTTTCTTATATGTTTATGTTCACATTTTAACTTAAGTTTGTTATTGCTATCGCACAAACTGCAGAGTGTAAAGACAACGGGAACGCAATTACAAATCTGTCTTGGGGAAAAACAAAGTTCGGGCGCTGCCAAACCACAGAGGAGAGAAACATAGAAACTTAAAAGCTGCCGCAGTGTGTCCCTTAAAGAACTGCCGCACACATTTCCTCGGTGGATCTACGGCTTACAAGTCCTTAAACCTACAAACCAAAAGCACATGCGTCTCTGGGGGACCTGTTTGAAAATCCGGTTTCGGGGAGGATCAATTTGCGGCCAATTCCATTCCGTTGACTTTTGAAATTCCTTATTGCGCAAGTAAAACGTTGATTGCGTCTTAAGGGTAGCAACGGTGGAATCGAATCATTGACGCATCGAATAGCGTCTATGAGCGTCGATGTGTTTATTTGTATACGCTGTATGTACGTATGTTGAACTTTTCTCTCACCGTACCTTGCCAACTGTGCTAATCGGAGGTGTGGAAAAGAACAACCAACCAAACACAAAAAAGTAGTTTTAAAGAAATGTATGGAATGAATTCATCTAATCCCCTTCAGCCACATTCAGAATCAGAATCTTTATTTAGACTGGAGGAATGAAAAAAAGGTACTGATCCTGAATGAAATTACAACCGTGAATCACTAAGTGGAGGACGGGGGTGGGGAGTGATTTCTTCCTCCTATAATGCAGTCAACATTGTTATCAGCAATGATCGAACTTCTTGACGAAGGTTTTCCCAAGCCGTCACCATCTCTCACCGTCTCGCGATGCAATGATCCGTCTCGTGCTCTTGCGCAAAGGGCCACTTGCATCAGAATCACCTTGGCGATGAGCTCATGATTGCTCGAGATCGAGCAGGCACACAGGGGCACCTGAGCAAGGGAGAGCAAGCACGGAAAGCAGCATTGAATTGCCGGTCCCCTACATAAACAGTCAATCAGGGCCAGGCCAGATATTGAGAAAAATAATATGTATTTATACTGGAGGAATCCGATGAGCTAGAAAGCAATTTTTCACGGATACCCAGTAGGGCCGCATCAGAAAGTTACATTGCTCCATCCTCATCTCTTCTCGCGACGCATCCTGCCCAACCCCGTTGAATTTCATAAAGAGTCAATATGATGGTCTTCGATCTGCGTTTGTTCTCCAAACCCATGTGTTCGTCTTTGTGTCTCTCGATGTAATTCCAAGCGTCCATCCCTCCACGCTTCTCTGTGCACTTCCCAGTTTCCGTTCCATTTGCTTTGTCGTTGCGAACGTTCCTGACCCAAATTTGGTCCAGAGCAGGCAATATAATTCGTATTTCATTGGCGCCAAAACTGCTCTCAAATATGTTTTCCCATTTGTCACTTCATCTCGTGGGGTTTCACTGAGTAATGGGGACACATGCGATGTTGACCGATCGAAGATAGGGATGGGTCTCTCGCGTTACGCGCTGGCAAAAACGAAATCCTTCCCTCCGTCGCCGCTCTGCAGTACCCGGTGGTCCCACGCTTTGGCACCGGTGACGCTACCCCGAGATTGAAGGCGTTTGATTGCTGTTTACCTGCGGCTAATTACGGACAACAATAAAGACAAGTGACACCAAAAAAAAAACCCAAGTAGGAAGAGAAAGGCCAATTGAGCTTTCAGTTTTTTTTTGAAAGCTGAGCGCTTCACCATCAAGTAAAACAACACACTTTCGAAGGCGAGCGCTGCAATCTTCCTTTCCGTGACACATTTGCCTCGATTTCTTTTTTGTCCCGTGCAGCTCAACTTCGGTCGTCTGGGAGTGGCGGTGGAAAACAAGAAATCCATCACGCTGAGAGACATTAGTCAGGTGAGGGTCACGAAGCCCCGCATCAGCTCCTCGCCACCCGTTCGTCTCTTGGGGAATTTTTGTTTTGTTTTTCAATTACCGGCAAAGTCGTCTCCACCCCCCCCCCCGACTTCATGATGTCTCCGTTTAATGGCACCCAATTAAACATCGGCTGTGCGAGGTAATTCCGGGGTGTGTGAGCTATAATTGCCTCTCCTGGCGTCTACCGGCGTCGGTAGAGGGGGGGGGGGGGGCGGGCGAGGGTGGTGCGTGAGCCGCGACTTCGCCACCGTCTCTCTCCCGGTGTTTTTGAGTTAACGCCACCACCACCACCACCGCCGGCGTTGTTGTTGTTGTTCTTGTTGTTGTTCTTGTTGTTGCGTGGTGAGCGCGGTGGCGCTGCGAATCGAGAGACGTTTCTAAGAGGCTCCACCACCACCACCACCACCCCCCCCGTTTCTTGGCACCATTCTCTCTTCTGTTACTCTGGGGAGAAATGAGATCTCGTGAAAAGTGATCTCTTTTAAAGTGCACGGCTGACAGCAGCAACAGCAGCGGCAGCAGGCAGTAAACCTTCCCCCGGATGGACCGATATTGTTTATTTCTGTTCCACAACTTATCCCTCCCTCTTTCTCTCGCTACAATTACAAAATGTCTCTGTGCCAATGTCTCCTTGCTTCCTCGCCCTGTTCTCTCTGTGCGTCTCGGTCTTTGTCTGCCCCATCCATCGATGTGTCTTGTCACCACTCCTCTTTGTCGCTCTCCGCCTCTCGTCGTTCCCCCCCCCCCCCACTCCTCCCCGAAGACCTCAGGCTTGACGCAAAGTCACACCTTGATACCAAATCTATTCTCAGTTTTCTCAAAAAACTGAGATGTCTGGGGAGCCCTCGCTGCTTTCAAACGTGTAAATTCTCTTCTCCGAGCTGATCATTGTCCCGCAGTGTTCCTGCTCATCCTGCAATGAATCAAGTAACGAATACATGTCGTGTTACTCGCGTAGGCTTGTTGTGGCTCTAAAGCGGCGCAGTGGCGACCTAGGTTTGATTCGCAGCCACGGGTGACGTCAACGGTGAGAGGAATCTGAATCGGAATCAGAATTTGTATTGATGCTGGAGGAATCCCATGAGCTATGAAGAACACTTTGACAGATGTCCCGTATATATGAACCGCTCCTGAGCACCTTGCCCCTAAACCCGCTTCACCAACGCACACTGACCAGGGTGGTGAAGTATGCTCAACAACCCCAATGACCGACAATGGCAAGAGGAGGCCTTCATTCAACAGTGAATTCCCCCCAAAATACTCAATAAAATGTAATGTTATCATAAGTACAAGCGGTGCTAAAGACATTAAAATATGCATATTTTGTATAGTTAATTGAAAAAAAGTTTCAAGGTTAATAAAAATGGAGCCAAGCTATTGCACATCTGATCCTTCGACATTTGAACATTGAAATGATTTCCACTCAGCCTGGTAAAACAAGGCCAAATTGATTTTTTTACATTTATATGCGACGCATATTGTGGAAATCATTGCAGACTTCCTGAGAGATTGGTGTATGAAATTAGCCCACCTTCTAAATGTGTGTGTACGTGTGTTTATGTGTGTGCATGGGGTGGGGAGCGGTAGTGTAGCGGTTAGCACTACGCTGCGCTACGAACCCCACCACCCGAGTTCGATTCACGCTCATGGCCAACACCAGCGGCGATTTTCTGAACCAGTACTGGGCCTCCCCTAAGTCGACTCAACCTCAAATGAATACCCGGTGCGGTGCCTAAAAACATCGCCGCTGGGGAGACAAAGGCGGCCGAGCGTGGTGTTGATCTCCCACCCCCTCGTGGACCGTTCCGGCCTTCATAGCTGCTCGCTAACAGCACTTTCCCCAACAGTCTGTTAAGGCTATACGGGGGATCTTTGTCTTTGTTTTTTGAGTGCGTGGGAAGCTATGCCTTAGTGGTTAGTGGCAGCTTGAATCTACCCCGATTCTCAGCCTCCCCTAGGTCAACTCAATCAGCAATGTGTACGTGGTGTCTCATTCAACCATCGCAACTGGGGACACAAGGGCCACTGGACGAGGTGCTGGCCACACCACCTCTCCGTGTGCTCGCTAACAGCACTTGCCCCAACAGTCTGTATGACTATATGGGGGATCGATATCTTAACGTACAATACACAGCAGGGAGCTGTTGCAGAGAGATGGTTTATTCACCGGTTTATTCACCGGTTTATTCACCGATTTATTCACTGGTTTATTCACCGGTTTATTCACCGGTTTAGTCACCGGTTTAGTCACTGGTTTATTCACCAGTTTAGTCACCGGTTTATTCACCGGTTTAGTCACTGGTTTATTCACCGGTTTAGTCACTGGTTTATTCTCTGATTTATTCACTGGTTTATTCACCGGTTTATTCGTCGGTTTATTCGCCGGTTTATTCACCGGTTTATTCACTGGTGAATCCCCAGCGACCTGGCTTTACTTCCTGCGTATACATCCCATCGGTGACAAGTGAACTTTATGGTGGTACCCTGGGGTACCATAGTACCCCGGCTCTCGCATAAAGTCCGTGATGCAGTCATTTTTATCTGTCGATGGTCGGCGATGCGGCAATCGACTCGTCTCGACGAGCTGTACTCACGATGCACCACCACGGTGCGTACCGCGAGCGTTCAGGGTTTCGGCACAATCGTCCTCGCTGCATTTCGACATCGCGGAGTGGCACTGATTTCAAAATGGATTGGTACCCCAGTCGCGGAGTTCAGTACACCCCTGGAAAAAATAGTGTCCCAGAAATAAAATATTTAATTGCCTCGGCTATTTTGTATTATTTGGTACCCCGGGGTACTGCCATAAGGATCAAGTGGTGTCTGTACCTATCCACGTTACCCACCCCCGCGAGTCATACTCAACATTTTGGAATGGAGGCACACGTGGTTTGTGTACATCACCACGAAGTGCCCCGCCAGCACTTGAATTGCCTTGCCAGCCTCGATGGGAGGTCACTAGCAGCCACAAGCAGCATATCGGGGCACTAAACGGTTGCCTCTCCGTTTTCGGTGCGAGTTTGTTTGCGCGGACACATACACACACACACGCGAGCGCTCTTGGTTACACGTTTTTGTTAACGCGTATACGGCGCCGCGATAATATTCGGCGTGTCTCTACAGCCCAGCGTCATGGCATTGCGATGCCCCCCCACCACCACCAGCCACCTATCACCCCCCCCCCCCCACACTCAACTCGGCCGGTGCATTAACCCCCCACCCCTCTCCATCTGGCCTCCGTGTCACACCCAAATTGCACGCCAGCGATTCCATCCACGCCACGTGCTCGAGTGATGGGCCGCGCGTTCGCGGGAGCGCAGAGGCACGCGAGCGTTTTAAATTCACTCGCTCGTCCAGCCATTAGCACCGGCGGCTGTGAACGTTTTGCCGTTGTTGTCGTTGTTGTCGTTGTTGTTTTGTGACTGCATGAATTCATATTCTTTGGTTCTTTCGGTAAAGTCACGTGGATAGAAAAAAATGAAAGCAAATAAAAACAAGCGATCGCTTGCGTTGTCATCGAAACGTCGTAGTTTTTTTGTCCCCTATCTTTTATTTTTTTCTATCTGCGTGACTTTACTGAAGGAAACAAATCATGTGAGTTGTTGTTCTTGTTACCGTGGTGGGAGAGCGCGCGCCTCCGCTGGTCTCGCGCTTTCGCCCTATCGTGCTGGGGAGACCTTTGGTGGTCCACGAGTACCTCGAACATTTCGTACGGATCACCCTGGTGGACTTGGAGCCACGTGAGCGGGCGTGTTTTTTGGTGGGCCGCTCAGGAACCCACCTGGACGCGTGTCATCGCGCACGTTCTACGTTTGTCACGTGCAGCATGCTCGAGTGAGTGAGAGTGGGTGCTCGCTAACAGCACTTGACCCCAACAGTTCAACAGTCTATTAAGGCTATACGGGGGATCTCTGTTCTCTGTGTGTGCGAGAAAAGGTAGTTGTAGTGGTTAGCTCACTGCGTTATGATCCGGGCAACCCAAAGTCGATTCGCACTCGTGGCTAACATCAGCCAAGAATATCTGACCTGATGCTGGGCCTCCCGCTAGGTCGACTCGACCTTGAACGAGTATCTGGTTAGGTGTGTAAACATCATCACTGGGGAGATGAAGGCTTCCGGGCTGGTTGCTGGCCACCCACCGCCTCATCTTCTATTCCTGCCTCAATTTCATTCACACTAACAGCACGTGCCAGAACGGCGTACTGAAGTCGATATGGGGGGGGATTCTTTGTTTTTGTTTTGTGTGGAACAACAGGAAGAGCAAAACCACCTCAACTCACTGTTGGGCTTCCGTGTGAACTCCATGCTCTCGGTGCCCATCGTAGCCCGAGCCACATCCCAGGTTGTCACCCTCGCTTGCGTCTTCAACAAGCTCCATGGGCAGAGGTACGAGCTGGCACTCTCGCACACACAATGACAAAGATCCCCCGTGTAACTTCAACAGACTGTTAGGGGAAGTGCTGTTAGCGAGCACCTATGAAGGCCGGCGCAGCACACGAGGGGTGGGTGGCCAGCAAAACGCCCGGTCACCTTTGTGTCTCTATTAGCGACATGTACACATGGCCGTGAGTGGGAACCGAACTCCGGTTGCCGGGTTCGTAGTGCTGCGCACTAACCACTCCGCCACCGCTCCCCACAATCGCACACACATGCACGCACACTTGCACATGTACGCATGCGTCTACATGCGCACAGTAATGTCCCAGCGCGGAAGCGATCATTGCTGCCTCAATCCCAGGATGATCCTGAGAATTTTCATGGTATGGATTACAAGGGAGGTGGAAGGCAGTGGGGGAGATGGTGTTGATGGCTTGGGGAAAGCTGTTAAGTTGTTATTAAATATATATATTTTTTACTTGGGAATGGCCATGCAATTTGATGTCCAATTTCGTGAGAGGTGAAGGCGGGGGGCATGAATGACAATTTTTTCTGTACGTACGCATTGCATTTAAAACTATCGGGGTGCAGCGTCAGTGCGGTGGTTAGCGCACCGCGCTATGAAGCAGGCGGCCCGAGTTCAATTCCTGGCCACAGCTAATTCCAGCGGTGAGTGAGATCTGAACTGGTGCTGGCCTTGTTCACCAACCTGGACTGACCTGTGTGGTGAAGTATGGTCAGTGAGTGACTCGGCTTGTGCAGGCCATCAATAAATGGATTTACAATGGTTCAATTTTTGTTATAATTATACAAATATAGGGATGAGCCAAGTGCATTGTCCATTATTAATTTGTTTCGACATAGATGATAGATTTTTTGTTTTTTTCTTTGTTTGGCAGGACGAGTCTTCCCACTCAGTAATGTTTGAATCACCGACTCTTTCCGGCATGTGTCAGTATCGCGGTAATCATGTTTTGTTCTCGCCACAATTCTCTCCTTTCAGAAATCCCAAGCTGTGACAGGTGCTAATGTGCAGGCCCACAATCCGAATGCAGCGCTGGAAGCCCTTTAGCACTGTCGGAGCCCCGGTATCTTGGAACTGTGCCACCTACCTGCCAGGGAGGGAGGAGGGGGGGGTAACACCACTTCAGAGATGGCACATTGTATGATCTTTTTCAGTGGCAAATCAATGGGCCTCCTTCTTTGTTATCCTCAGAGTACCCCCCCCCCCCCCACTGTTGGGGTCAAATGTCACGCTTATTATTATTATATGATCGGTCACCTTAATGTTTGTACCTGTGAACAGATTGTACAAAATCCAAACTCGTTTTCCCCTCAATGAATTTATATTCCAAAAATGTGCGATCGGCAAACGCCTCACGGAGGTTGAGGACATTTCAATTCGGAGAGAATGTCTCTGGAAGACGATGTCACCACAAACTACTTCAGAAATCGCTCCGATTGGCCTTTTTATCCATACCAGGGGGGCACGCCTTTTAATGCCCTGGAAAGAGTGTTCGTTGTATGTCAAACCAAAACATTTTAGGACTCGGATCTGGAATAAGCCAAATGAATTATCTTTGGTTCTTTCGGTAAAGTCACGTAGACTTTTATTTTCTACCTACGTGACTTTACCGAAAGAACCAAAGAGTATGGATCCCTGCAGTCACGAAAATTTCAAATCTAGATGAAGCCAAATTAAGTTTAAAAACATTTGATGGGGGGCCTGGGATTAAGTCAATGGTGACCAGGCTGAGACCATCAACTTACTGTACTTGAGAACCCAGTTGAATCACCAGGTGGCTGGAATCAGGGTTTGAACCCAGGATCTCAGCAGTTGCCAGGCGAAGTGATTCCTGATCCACCAGAGTTATCTCAATATTTGATAACTAGTATGGTCGTAATGACTTGCATCCACAGTTTATAGAATGTTGCACTGAGCGCCGTTTGTGGGCACCTACTAAGGACGGCACAGACATCTTAAGGGGGTCCTTGTCAACGCGCACCTCGCCACAAATTCTCTACTTCCCCCCCCCCCACGTTGGCAATTCACCACCAGGTATTGACTTTTGGGGCTGAGTCAACCTAGCGGAGAACCAGGCCAGGTTTCGATAACCAAACTCACCGTTTTGTCATTGTGCGAGGAATCAGAGCGAGTGCTCTTGAGGTCACGGCACAGCGACGTCGCACATTGTGCCCCAGCCGCGTTTCAACAAACGTTGGGCGTTGAGAGCGCCCAGCATTGCGAACTGCGCAAAGGGGAATGGAGATGCGCAACTGTCTTGAGGCAACGTATCGATGTGTTTTAATTATATATGTCTTAATTTACTTCTTATTTGTTAATAATATATTTTTATAATTAGCAATACGCTTCCCCGCCGCCGCCGCCGCCCGCCCAGTCCGTGTATGTGATCTATGTTTATTCTGTGCTCACGCTCTATGACATTAATTACGAAAGAGCTCCTGCGAATTTTCAATTTCATAAAGCTGACATTTGTTCGCTCTCTCATGTGTGTCGCGCCAAGGCTTTCTTCAGTGTAGTCGAGACGCAAAATCTATTAATCGATTTTTTTTTACTTCTTTCCTTCACATTTCACTTGCCCCCGCCCCCCCCCCCCCTCACCCTCCCCCTGATGTGTCATCACCGGGACTCGCACACGCTGCCGGCAGCACTTGATTATTGTCGAGCGTTTCGTGTGTTTGCTCCGTCCCCGTGGGTGCGAGTGACTCAGCCTTGTCCTCCTGCCGAAGATCTTATTAATACAATACGAACATAAAAAAACACAACCCCACACAACGCCCACGTTCCGAAACGCCTGGCTCTTCAGATAAGTCACGGCGGTCGAAATCATCGGTGGTCATGGTTATTTAGTCAGGCCCTGCTTTCCTCAAAACATTGCACATGTGTGACGACTCGACGACAAGTTACAAGAAGAGCCACTTTTTATTTAAAGATTTCCACAATACGGAACCCCACTATGTACTTTCACGATGAGGGACCCCTCGGATTCGTGCTTGTTTTCCTTCTGTATCTTCCTCCGAGCCTCCCCACTCCTCGTGCACTCCCCTAAAATCTCCCTCGGCCCCGTTTCTCGAAAATTCTTCTCCTTGTTTTTACCCTCTAGCAATCCCTCTCCTTTCCCTTTAACGGATCCTTTCGTTTCCCGTTCAACCCCTTATTCTCCAATCCCTTTTAAAGTCTGCCTCCCGACCAATCAGCGTGGATGTCTCTTTCCTACAATCGAAGACCTTTGTTTATACTGGTAGGAACGAAGTTGTAAACTGAGTGTACCAGCCTGCAATAGATTAATTTGTCCGTCCGTCTGTCCGTCCCTTCAATACTTTAACGAAGGTGAAATCTCGTGCTGTTGGTGTAAAATCAGCAATAGACAGCGCAGAGACTTGTCCTACCAGCCCACCCTGCAGGGACCTGTTTTTTTAAATACGCCGTTAGGCTTGCATTTGGCTTGGGGTCATTTTTCGGTAATTTCGCATGCTTTAGTCCTCCTGGACGACTGCAGTGAGGTCGGGCCTAGCACACCGCCTTTGTGACTAATTGGAAAGAATGTAAAAAAAGTCCACGCTCTGTTAATGTTCAACTGGTTCCCTCGCCCCTCCCCCCCTAGAAAATTAAAGACCAACTTGTGAAAATGTCACCAGCTCACCTGTGGTGGGGCCAGAGTTTGATGTGCAGCTGTTAAATCCGGTTTGTGCCGCTTTGCCCATCTGCAGCCTCTCGGGCCACGAACAGCCAATTACCGGCGCGCTGTAGGTGCGGCCTCTGAGGAAAATGTCACCTCTCCTGCCAGGAACGCAGCCCCGAGTCTCTCCCGCCGAGATAATCCCAGAGCTTAAGACCTGGCAAGGACACTAAGAGATGAGTGGCATGTGGGGTGTGTGGTGGTGGGGGGGGACTCTGTCGGAGGGGGGCTTACGGCGAGGACATTGCTGCGGGTGAAATAAAATGAAGGGGGAAGACGGTGAATAAGCAAAGTTCAAACATGCATAATTCATAGGCAATACAGCACAGATGAATTTTTCATTTCACCTTCATTTATACCCTCTGTCTTCCGAGGTGAAACTCACAACCCCCTGTGTTTATGATGTAAATGCTAAATTTGACGTATTATGTTGTCGGGACCACGGAGTCAAATTTCATCCCACAACAAAGTGACATAATCAGACTTGATGGGGCATTTGAAACTTGTCTGTGGCTTTATTGCGGTACAAAAAGAAAACTAATTATGAAGGGTTTTTTTGTCACGTAATAAAACAAATTTCCGTTAGGCCACTGTAGGCACAGTTAATTTGTTGCATTAACAATTAACTCCATGGAACTAAATTAATTGGCGTCTGTCATGGGCAGCTTGCCGTTTCCACAGGGACCAAGCCACACGGAGGAAGTTGACGTTTTCCTAAAGGTTAGATTACAGATAAGATTCGGGAAATCACCCCACACTTGGTCATGGATAAAGAGTGTCTACTGCAATACAATTTTTTTTTACGTTAAAACCTACACACTGGCTACCCAGTACTGAGCCTTGTGTGCCCTTGCGCTATTGTGTATTTAAACATTCCGTCGTCCGCATGAATGACATTTATGAAGAAAAGCTCAGACTCAAATACCAAAAATTCTCACCAAAGTTTTGGACAAAAAATCATCACACCCACGACACCCACAGTGGCCGCTCCCTTGGCCTTGGTCTCTGCTCCACAGCCTCGCTCCGCAGCGCAAGACGCGACGGAGGGATGTCAACGGGGCCCGCGAAATGGTCAACGGGGCCCGCGAAATGGTCAACGGGGCCCGCGAAATGGTCAACGGGGCCCGCGAAATGGGCAGCGGGCGCGAGATGGTGGAGACGGTGTCTCTTAGACGGTCTCCGGAAAAGCCGGACACCGGCTAAGGAACAAAGTGCGGACACAGTGTCCCGTATCCGTGTCCAAGAATTCCGTGTGTGTCCAGACAGCCGGACACCGGCTAAGGAACAAGGTGCGGACACAGTGTCCCGTATCCGTGTCCAAGAATTCCGTGTGTGTCCAGACAGCTGGACACCGGCTAAGGAACAAAGTGCGGACACAGTGTCCCGTATCCGTGTCCAAGAATTCCGTGTGTGTCCAGACAGCCGGACACCGGCTAAGGAACAAGGTGCGGACACAGTGTCCCGTATCCGTGTCCAAGAATTCCGTGTGTGTCCAGACAGCTGGACACCGGCTAAGGAACAAAGTGCGGACACAGTGTCCCGTATCGATGTCCAAGAATCCCGTGTGTGTCCAGACAGCTGGACACCGGCTAAGGAACAAAGTGCGGACACAGTGTCCCGTATCGATGTCCAAGAATCCCGTGTGTCCAAACAGCTGGACACCGGCTACGGAACAAAGTGCGGACACAGTGTCCCGTATCGATGTCCAAGAATCCCGTGTGTGTCCAGACAGCTGGACACCGGCTAAGGAACAAAGTGCGGACACAGTGTCCCGTATCGATGTCCAAGAATTCCGTGTGTGTCCAGACAGCCGGATACCGGCTAAGGAACAAAGTGCGGACACAGTGTCCCGTATCCGTGTCCAAGAATCCCGTGTGTGTCCAGACAGCCGGACACCGGCTAAGGAACAAAGTGCGGACACAGTGTCCCGTATCCGTGTCCGTACAGCAGTTGTTGCGCCCCTGGCCTCCACTGCATCGCTCGGCTCCCGCGTCCCTGAAACGCGGTGGTGACCGCGCGCGCTGACCGTGATGCCTTGTGGGTTGGAGCGACTCCTGGTCGAGTGGATTCACACCGTGTCTAGAGGAAATCGTTTATAGCGAGTGGGGCCGCTACGGAACCCAGTGAGCTCAATACAATACAATCGGATTGATCGTCATCAAATTTACCTGTGATCTATTCAATGCTAGAAGAAGGCCTTCCCATGCTACATCGGGTGTGGGGGTTGTTTGATCTTTTGAAGTATGCCTCGCTAGCGCTTATTGGTGCAGTCTTTGCGACTCGCCAGAGCAAGCCTCTCCGTGATGACCAATCTCCATTTAATTACAATGCAAGTTGTTAAGCGACCCACGCACCTGATGATTGGTAAACACCTGATGATTGGTAAACACCTTCGACACTGTGCAGAGAGTGCTTATTCAAATCAGATGGCTCTTGATTTGAATCAATGCTCACAAGTCACCTGGACTGTTTAACAATCATCAGGCACGTGCAACAATTAGGCGCATGTAGCATATAACTACGTACATATGTTATATAACTGACAAAGATTGGAATACATGAAAAGGTTGGACCGTGTTAGGGTATATTTGGGAACACCTGACTCATAATACACGCATCTCTCCGCCAACTCCTATTCCTTTTAAGTACAGGGTAGTTTTAACAGTTAAATAAATAATGGCTATGAAGATGCTTTTGTTACCTCTACGCTTTGTAGGTATCTGGCTGCACGTGTGTGCATTGTTTTCCCGCCTTCAAAGTGTTTATTTTTTTTCTTTCCGACACCGACACAACAAACACTTATCCCAGGTGTCACGTTTGGCCAACAATGGCCCGCACGAGCGATTGCTTCGCGGCCACTTTTGACCCGAATTTGCGTTACCCGTTGCGGCACTCCCCGCCACCGCAGGAATCCCGCCGCCCGTGAGCAGCCTCGGCTCGCGGAGTGCCCGTGAAGCAAATTGACGTCTCCCCCGTGAAACAGGGCGCAGTGAGCGAGGAGCCCTCGTGGAGCACGATGGCAATTTGTTTTTTTTTTTACAAATCTGCTCAATTTGAACGACCGTTATGCGTCGTGCGCGAGTCTGTCCGTCCGTGTGTCTACGTGTGTGTGTTTATTCGTAGTGAGCGGTTCGTGTCGTGGCTTAGCACGCTTAATGGCCTGCAAAGTGATAGCGCATCCATCGCTGCAAGCATTTTAGCCACCCGAAGCGGGTACGAGAGGGGTATATGTTTGGAATGGCGACACTGCTGTGTTTTTTTTAATTGCATCAAACTCGGTCGCTTCTGTCCCTGGAGACTGTCACTGCAGAAGAGCCTCTTGCAGTAACAATTGCCCGAGGTGTGTGTGTGTGTGCTAATGTGTGACTGCCCGCCAAAGGTTTTTCAAAGTAAAGGAAAATGGTTACGTTACTCACCCACCACCTACCCTATGTTCTAAAAGACGAAACAGAACGTATTTCCCGTTGCGTGTGAGTGTGTGAATGCATTCACACACGTGTGAGACAAATGCAGGCTGAGCGTGCTGCTGGCCCACCAGTCACTCTCGTGTGCCGTGCCGACATTCGTAGGTGCTCGCTAACAGCACCTGCCCCAACAATCTGTTGAGCCTATACGGGGTGTGTGATCATTGTCTTTGTACGCAGACGCCAAATTTAACTTCGCCTTGCCGTTGATGTTCATCGCCGCCACTGTGTGTGTTTTAGCCGCATTCGTTGGTCGAAGTCTCTCTAGCCTGGAAACGTAACGCTTCCTCCACCAAAGCGACCGATCGATCAACGGCTGGAGCGTTGTCACGGCTCGTTCTTGGCTCTGCCCCCACCCGCCGCCTTCCCTCTTGCAGCTACACGGAGACGGACGAGCGCAAGATCCAACACTGCTTCTGCTTCACGTCCACCGTGCTCACCAGCACCATCGCCTTCCAGAAGGAGCAAAAGCTCAAGTTCGAGTGCCAGGTAACTGCAACTGCTCCCTGCTGCTGGACTCTAGGCCTCCAAAAAATGCTATTTCCCCCCCCCCCCCCCCTCATTTTAAACGCGGGCGGCTGATGATGCCTCATCGGGCGGTGGGGGACTAAGGGGGAGGGAACGGTGGCGCGGTGGTAAGCACGCTGATGTTGATTGCCGGCTACGGCTAACGATAGTGGCGAGCGATATCGGAGCTGCTTCTGCCCCGCCAAACAAGCACTGGCCAATGCGGTTGAAGTGTGGTTAGACAACTCGCGATCAACACAATAGCGGATTCACAGAATGCTGTGCCCGATAGCTCGTCTCCGTCGTCGCGAACAAGGTGTGGCAAAGGAGAAGACAGGGCAACAAACACCCCCGCTTGTTTCCGTCTGAATGCATCATTTAAGAGTTTGCCCCCGTCGTACGTGATGGTCGTCTCTGGACACCCGTTCATGGAATTGGCCAAACATTCCAATGCAATGCCCTTCATGCGTTTGGATGCTAATTATAACTGCAATGCAGGGAGCGCAACGGTTAAACTTTTTTTTCTTCCAGGTAAGCCCCATTGGGTTACATCAATTTTCCATGTCGGTGTCCATGTATTCCCGATCCATGCGTTTAGATCACAGCCGATAATGGGCACCGAGTGTGGGCATTCTTTTGTCATGCTGACACTGGTACACTCCTTCAACCATCATCAATTTCAGATTCAACAAAAGACTGCTCATATTCTTAGTTTATATTTTGTTATTTTGTTGTTTCTCTTCAACGTGACTTTACCGAAAAAACTAAGAATATGAATGACTGCAGTCACGAAAGCTTTAAATCAAAAAAAGACTGCTCATTAACCCGTTCTTGCTTTTTGCCTCTTTAAAGTAAAGCCGCACGCTTCAGCGTTTTAGAGATATATAACGGTTGCTTTAGACCCCTTTGGGAATTAAGGAAGAAGCAGAGACTGAAAACTTAGTTTTACCTTGTCCTAAATTACATTGAGGGGGGCGGGGGGGAGGGGCAGTGGGAGCTTCATTTTGTTATATAAATTCCCTTTGCGGGGCTGCTGATCGCGCTGCGTTCAAGTGCGAAAGCCATTATCCCGGCCCCGTGGACCCTCAATGAAAGCGCCGCGTTGCGAGCATAGCGCATGAAACGAGCAACTTTTTGTATCCTACCCTTTGGTTCTTTCGGTAAAGTCACGTAGGTGGAAAAAATAATAATAAATCACGACGTTTCGATCGCAACACCAGCGGTCGTCCTCAGGCGTAAAAAAATAATCCAGCAGTGGAACTGCCCAAATCAATTTTTTTTGTATCCTATCCTGTCAAATTGGCTCGGATTGCTCTCAAGATTTGTTGAGCCGCCGATGAGCATTTGTTGAGCCCACAGTGCGAGCATCCCCCACGGTACATTGCCCCAGCCCCGCGTTAAAGAAATGGGCTCTCGCCTTGCGTTCGTTTTTGCAATGTTTAGCGGTGATTTTCTGCCAAGCCTCAAAGTGGCAGCAATTAACCTTCACACATGTTGAATTGTTTTCATTTCTTAACCGGTTAAACAAAAAAAAATGATTGGAAATGGAGAGAACATGCCTGAGAGGAATGACCACAGCAGAGGTGGAAGGATGACATCACCTCGTGCATAGAGTGAGATGGATTGTGGGCATCGTGGGGACTATCTATCATAGTGCTCCGTTCCGCATTGGGATTGTGATTATCATCCAAACGTAGGAGGAGAGTACTGCATTGGGATGTTTGTCCACTGCCATAAAGTGGGTGTCCCGAGAAAAATCAAACCATCGTTTCACCTGTGTATAGGACATTGGCATTAAAATGCCCTTTTGTTGGCTTCGGCCGAACGCCTTCCGCTCTCGCTCGTCTCGATAATTCGGTTTGGTATTTTTTCGTGCGTGGTTGCTCTCCGTATTGCGGCCAAAGGTTACGAAACTGCCGCTCTCCGCACATCGGGCAAGGGACTGCGGCAGGACGTCTTTACGCACTCGAATTTTAATTCCCTCGCTGGCAGGTTTGTCGGAAAGAAAATTGGCTCATTATCTGCGTGTCACAGAATCCCTTTCCAGGGGGGCGGGGGCGGAGGGGGTAGAAAAGGAGAAACATTTATAACTCGGCCCGCCGTTCGTTCGCGCGGCGAATTTATGCGGCGGGGATCGATGTTTTCCGAGTCCTGGGAGTGGATCCGTACGGCATTAAAGCGACGGCCGGCTTTGGGGGGAGGGGGAACAAGTGAGGGGAAAGAAAAAACCCTGCGTCGTTATAATTCCCTTCTCTTTCCCCTGGAATTGCAGGTGAAGTGGTTAAGTCTCTCATCATCCCCGAGCTCGACCGAGGGTTTTTGTTTCAAAGCGAAGACCAATCATCTAAGCGGCGCCGTGGCTTTAGCAGGCGTGCACTGAAGCCCCTCGGCATTGCTGCTCTTGATATCGCCGCAGGCCAAGGGCTCCGGCCTCGACAGACCGACCGTCCGTTCCACGGAGTTTTTGCGACGCGTCCCCAATTCGGGGCGTTGGAGTCTTCTGACACAGCCCCGGGACGAGAGTGCAGTGGCTGTTGTGATAGAAAGGTTCATGGGAGTGGGGGGCAGAGGGTCAGAGGGCAGGCCAGGGGGGTTTCAATACAGGTAGCATTGCCTTTGTATCATTATTATTATTAGTCAGTGTGTCAATCTGTGTATCGATCTGTGATCGTGTTGTCTCGCTGTCCGTCAGTTTGTCCTGTCTGCCTGTGCATCTGTCTGTTAGCGTTGTCAGTCTGTGTGTCTGTCTGTGAAGGTATCTGTCAAATCAGCCTGCCTGTCTGCCAGGTTGTCTGCCTGCCAATTTTGTCTTGTCTCTCACTGCGTTTGACCAGCCTGTCTTCACCCCATCAAACTATGCTTCACGTGCATGATCAGTCAGTGACAGCCAACGTCAACGTATGCGTATATTATCACGACGGTGACGCTTCCGAATCTGCGGGTATACAGATAATATCAAATACATGCGCCTGTCCGTGAACCGAAACTTGCATTGCTCACCAAATTGTCTGCAAGCACTTGAGGACACGTTACACCTGGGGTGGAGTGTGACCCCCCCCCGCCGCCGCCGTGGCACGAGGGATGAATCGCCTCTGCGTTGGCGCTTCTCCGAATTCGTCTCAGCCGGAATTTGTCCCCTTGCTGTCGTTCGCGCGCGGCTGCAATTGCGCAAGCCAGACCTGAACGCTCGCCAGTTGCCAAGGCAGCCTTGGTGCACACTTGTCGCACAACGTGCTGACGGGTAGCTTGGGATGATAGCTTTGAGAGGGAGAGATAGGGCAAAAGCGTTAGCTGTCAACGGCAGCCAGTGATTTTTGATGGCTCGAAATTGGATTCAGCATGGCCTGCCCTAATTTATTGCTTGAAATCTACCCTCGGGATTTTTTGTTGTTATTTTGTTGTTGTTGTTGTTGGAACAAAAAAAAACAAATCGTGGTGATAGCGTCAACAACAGCGTCAACACAAACTGGTTGTAATGAGTGTTGTTGTTGTCGCAATTATTCAAGTGGCAACAGAAAAGAAACAACAGCGAAAAGTGAGCAATTTTTTTTCGTTGGCGACAATGACACGGCTAATTTATACGAAACCCCCATACGCTTTGTGTAAATAATGAAAAAGCCCCACCCCTCCGTCCTCTACATCGCGAGACGGGGGAGCAAATGCGCGCAGCCTGGAAACGAATAGCGATGGCAACAGGCAGAGGTGGCGACGGTAATACAGCCACACAATTTCAGCTCCTTCGGGCCAGTGACGATTTGGTGATCACATGACATGCATGCAAGGCATGATGGGAATCATGCGTCCCTGGCGTTTGTGTGCCGCGCACCTAAAATTAATATTGATTAATATTGATTATTTGGTGCCATTATTATAGCGCAAGGCTATTGTGAAAAAAATACGCTGCGTTTCACATAGCCTGCAGCAGTTTCACAATAGGGGGCGATGTCACTATGTGTAATCCCAATTGAGTACTTTGCTGGTGAATTAGCAAATTTGGAACCATTGACGCCGTGTCACGATAACCTACTCGTATCGAATGACGTCCGGTGACCCGTCACATCCAGCGTGAGGCAGACGTCGCATATTTTACGGTCCATACACAGCACCGCGGTAATCGCCAGGGTGCCCTACTGGATTCGAACCGCCAACCTCTGCAGCCGGGGGGCGGGCGGGGGGGTGGGGGGGTGCCATGCCACCGCCACCTTAGCGCGCCGTTTCCTTCCGTAACGTCAATTCCCGTGCTTTGCGTGGTGGAAACGGCTGTGGCTGGCCGCTCGCGCACTGCGACGCCAATGACCGTGCGGATTGAGGGCGAGCGCTGGGCAGCGATCCCCGGCGATAGCGAACGTCGTGGTCGAAAAATATCGCCGATCGTCGACGAACCCGGCGGCACATTCTCTGGGTCTGGCAGGGGGAGCTCACCTGGCGGCGTGCAATGTGAGCCTCGAGGTCACGTTGATTTGTCCACCCCCATCCCCCCCCACTCCGCCCCCCCCCACTCCGCACCCTCCCCTCCCACCCCCCCCATCCTCCCCCCATCTTCCCCCCATTCCCCCCATCCCCCCCCATCCTCCCCCTCCCCATTATCCCCCCCATCTCCCCACCCCCCCCCCCCAAACCAGGCAGTCTGTTTTTTGAGTGTGCGCACAATTGTCCAAAATTTTGACGAACTCAACAAGGGCCTCCTCTCGCGTTGATGAAACACAATGAGCCCCCGGGTCACCCACGAGTGACCGATACCGGCAACCGCGGGGCTTTCTGTCCGTCGCACTCAGTCCGTGTTGAATTGACTCAATTAGAAACTGCCAAACGCGGATACTCGGAATTGGTTCTGGCGAGGAGAGGAATGCTTTTTTTTTTGTCGTGTCTGAATCGCACGCGCGGCGGAAACCAGGCTGAGTTGTCAAATTCTGAGCCGAGCAGGAGGGGGGCAGGTGTTTCAAATTGGCGTAACAAAAGCAAAATATTTCTGGTTTATCAACACTATCCACTTCCACCCTCCCCCCCCCCCCCCCATACACACACATCCCTGCTGATTGGAAATGCCTTTCTGGATCAAACATTTATTTTGACTGGCCCGCCACGCTAATGAATCGCACATGAGAGTTGGTAAAAGGAAAAACGAAAAAAGCCTCCCAATTGCTGGAGCGAGCGGATTGCTATGCACACGTGTGGTACTGAAAGGGCACACGTGTGGCACACGTGTGGTACTGAAAGGGCAGACATGGCAGGTGGATTCCAGTGTCGCCAAATGGTCTAATTTCAAATAGTAATTTACATCCGTTTTGTGCTATGCTGGCCTTAATAGGCGCTCGCTAACAGCGCTCGCCCTAAAGTCTTTTGGTCTAAATCTGTAATTGTTGTCCTTGTATGTATGAATGTAAAGTGCTTGCAAATAGCATTTCTCCCTTTAGTTTATACGGCTAAATATATATAGGTCCATATATGCGGAATACATATGTCAAATCGACTGCTGGTTGCAGGCCTCCAGACACGGGGTGTTGTTTGACCATACTTCACCACTCTGGTCGGTGTGTGGATTGGGGAAGGGGGAGGGTTGCCGAGGGACTGGTTCGTATACAAGTCGTCACGTACGTGCTAGCTTTGGCCCGGATTTGAACTCGGGTAACTCTATTCAAACCGCCAATTATTCAGTGTAAAACAAAAAAAAATTGTTCCTGGGTAGTAAGTGTTATTTTGTAATTGATTATGCCTCAAAAGTACAGAATTTGGCTATTATTCCCCACAATCTTTGCTTTTGTGACCAGGACAGTGATATTTTTTTTATTTACTTATATTCAATGAGAAAACGTGGTGTGCATTTGTGTCATTTGTTCGCATAAAGTCCTGGTCACAAAAGCAAAGTTTGTGGGGAACAATAGCCATTTCCTGTACCTTTGAGGCATAAGCAATTAGAAAATAACACTACCCAGGAACAAAAATCTCGTTACATAATTTTAACCACTTGCACCCCCTCACCCCCCACTGCTTAGTCCAACAATTCGGTTGTTTTAGTGGACAAGGGGAATGGTGATTTATTTTGAGCGTGAAAGAGAGATTGCTGGATTTACATCAAATACGGAATTATTATTTAATTTCCCATTTGATGAGCAGTGAAAGTGAAGTTTTATATTTTAAAAATTGGCTTTTTTTATCAAGAGGTGGCTAGAGCAACGGAAGAAAAATCATTGTTAATAAAGAGCAAAGAAAAGCAAAATCTGGCCCCGTTTAAAATTGCAATACGAGAAAGGGGCGGGAGAAATATCATCGTTCAGCATTATAAAACATTAATGCATTTTCAAACATTGAAATACAATTCAACTGTCGAATATAAAGTAGGGGGTGGAGTAGGAATGTCACGAGTTGGTTCCGTTGTTTAATCCTGGGCCTCACAAACTTTTTCTCTCATTCCCTTACAGGCTCTGCTGCAAGTTGCCAAAAACCTGTTCACTCATTTAGGTAAGTTTAAATTAAGTTTATGTTTAAGATCATACTCGTTTCCTTTGGACAATCTCGTAAAATAACAAATCTGTTGAGGTTTTTTTTTTAACGTAAAGTTAGCAAATTCTGTTGAACATCACATCATGCCGCGGTGGCGAGATGTTAACTCCCTCGCCTGGTGTGCAGGAGGTCGTGGGTTGGATCCCAACCCTGATGCCTGTATATTTGGAGTTTGCATGTCTCTTTCCCTATGGTCACGTGGATGTTTCTCCAGGTCCTCCGTTTTTTTCTCTCCATACTTGTAATCAACGTGCGTTTAGAGTATTTGGCTGCTTTAAATTTCCACATAAGCCACTTTGTTGAGCTATCATTTGTGGCCAGGTCCCTTCTACAATCCACTACCACCCAACACAGCCAAATTGGACATGTTGTGGGTTTACTCTCCAACGCACCGCGGTGCTGAAGTAGTAACTAATTGGCACGTTTTGTTTACGTGACAAACCTTACTGATTAACTGTGTCGGGTGGTGGTGGTGGTGGGTTAACGACACACTTATATTCACGCGCTCTACCACAAAACAACTTTTGTCTTGAATAACATCGGTCGCGAAAGCCTACGCGTTAAATAGGGAAAAAATAATTGTTTATTTTAAAGTAAAATTACCGACGCCACGCGTAATGTGCCACGATTTTTCCCCACCTGCTGCGGAAATTCACGTTGCCCCCTAATTTGTTTTTCTTTCTCCCTCCGATCCTTGGGTGCCCCTTGTTCTCATTGGGAACAATACGTTTACGCAATCGCAAACAACGCGCAGCCGCTTCGAGAATTACCTTTTGCGTAACTCGGCGCTCCCGTCGTGATTGTGTGTTGTTCGTTTGTTGTAACGTTCTGACCCCGTGGCGCCCCGACTGGGCATCTGCGACGAAGGGCTTTGCAGCTCATCGGATTCCTCCAGCACATCAACAAATATTCTAATTCTGAATAAACTGTTCCCCTCCCGTCTTGCGATCTCAGACGACGTGTCCGTTCTGCTGCACGAGATCATTCAAGAGGCGAGGAATCTGAGCAATGCCGAAAGGTACCGGTGGGCAGCTGGAGGTTCGCGCTGCCGCACGGCTCGCCGGACACCCGTGAAAAAAAAGAGCCTTCGCAGCTCATCGCATTCCTCCAGTCTAAAATCGAGATTCTGATTCTGACATACTTTGTCCATAGGTGGCAGGTGGCTCGGAGTCAACAGGACTTTCCGGGGGGGTGCCCCCCTCAAACCCAGTAGTTATCGTTGTGCACTCACACAGAGCCTCATGCAATAAAACCTCTCAGTTTTACTGCATGATAATAAAACCCGAGAGGGCGGGGTCAAGCCAACGAGAGAAAGGTCACCACTGCCAAAGCACGTGGCAGGCTGATCCAATCGGCGTGCACCCTTTGGGGGCATGCGAGTCTTACGGTGACAACCCCTGCATGTATAACAACACGCAACATTACTTCATTAATTAAACTAAATTCAGCTGGCCAAACTTTTTTTTCAACCCTCCCCAAAATGGCACCTTTTGACCTTTCGCCCGTGCACTTGACCTCCCCAATTCTCACGCGAGCTCTGGGCAGTGCCCGGCGACAATACCACCCTTGAGTCATCGTTGGGATTCCCAGATTCGCATCGCTGGGATGTTGCCCGAATCAGAAACCTTTTGTGACCCGTCTTACTCTTTGGAGAGCACCAGTCCTCCGATGGCTAAAGAGGCAAAAGTCAAGTCAAAGCGATTTCCTTTCTCAAATAAGCATTAAGACAGTACTCATATCCTGTATGTATATTTGACTACTTTTGCACCATACATAGCCAACCATGCTAATCGGAGGTGCGGGGGAAGGGACAACAAACAAAACACAACAAGCAGTTTTAAAGAAATGAGTTTTACATCTGGATGATTTTAAAGTGCATAGCTCCAGTGGCTTCCTAATATCGGAAGGAAGAGCGTTCCAGACAGCCGCAGAAACGCATCCAAAAGCGCATGATGCAGTGACCGAATTAGTTCGATGGCGAGCCGAAAGACGTTGCTGCTACAAGGTTGACCGGAGTTGTGTGTGACGGCTTATGCTCCTTGACGAGATCGCCAAAGCATTGTGGTTCATTTGTGGCAAGCACTCTGTGTGTTATGAATGCGACCTCATAATGTATTCGTCCAGCAACCGGAAGCCAATGCAGCTCAGCGGGCAATGGACGGATGTAGCCTGGCCCACCACCGACTGTTTATGTAGAGGACTGCTAATGCAATGCTGCTCTACCCGCTTGCTCTCCCTTGCTCAGGTGCTCCGTGTTCCTGCTCGATCGCAGCAGCCATGAGCTCGTGGCCAAGGTGTTCGATGGCGGCGTCGTGAGCGACGAGGTACGTCTTCGGGCGCAGCTGGTGCTCCCTCGCTTGATGCTCGCACATCACAGAAAGGCGATTGTTCGCTGTCAAAAATCTGGAGTCGACCGTTCAGTCGATCTGCTCCTGGCGTGCTTGCGTGCTTGATGTTGCCCCGATGTTATGAGTTGTTTGGGAGTTCATTGCCTCAGGTCTACTTTATAGTTGCCATTGCTGTTCTCAAGTCCAGGCTCAAGACTTTCCTTTTTTTTACCCTCAGACTCGCTGACTGGACCCCGCGCTCTTAGGCTCTTTAAAATAAATGTGCCCACTGTTTCTGTACTACGGTGCCTTGAGATTGCGGTCGCGTTGAGATGTTGTACGAATCCCCACGTTGAATTGTGCTCGAGTTAGTCGAGTCTCCGTGACCCAATGCAATCTGGAGTTTTTCCCACCAAGGCAATTTCCCCTGTGTGTGGTAAATCAACTGCTCTCTTCACACCGTGGATCCATCTCAATCCGTTCTCCTAGACCTCATGTTGCTCTTGACACAAAAGATCACTCAATCTTCCTTAAGTATCTCCATAACTATGCTGCTGTCCACAGTACGCTTATATCCTGGTTCCACTCTTGCCTCTGGAATCGCTCTCTACTTACGTTTCCACGCAAGGACTGCATTCCTCACCTCACATTAGCACGGTTGGCTCCGTATGGTGTAAAAGAAGTTCTGCATATCACGGTGACGTTTTTTCCAGTATTTAAGTATGAAAAATAAGAATAGGTTTCACCCTTTCTGGAAATCAAACAGGAGGTGTTCAGATGTTCAAACACCAGATGGATACCTTTTGCAAGGGAATCAAGTCTGCATTGACCACACGTACTTGTGGTGATCATGCAAACAAACATGCTCTCATAATAATATATGCATTGGTTTTTAAACTAATTCGCCTACACTCGAGGCGGCCTTCTTAAAGAAGGTACAAATAAGCTCCATGTTTTAGTCTTAACGGTGGCATTAAACGCACGCGAATCTAAAAAAAAAATGCAAACATGTCGTAACAAGAGGTGCCAGAATAAAGTTAGGCACATGTGCAATTATGCTACGTGTGTTGGTTGGCCTCATCGGGACATACAGATGGGGCAGAAAAAGGAGGGTACCAAGCTGTAGATGAGCAGCAAGTGTAAATTCGAAATCCGCAGCTCCATTGAATCCCTTTTTTTCGTTTTACCAAACTCAGTTTGACAAAACGTAGGCGAAACACATCCCACGGCGGGGAAGAGAGAGGGCCCTTGCGGAGGTGACTCATGATAGCGGATCTGGAGAATGGTGGGGTGGGTGGCGAGTGGCGACGCAAATCTCACGGAGCACGGCGAAGCGAGTGGGTGGGGAAGGGGGCCCCTTTTTTTCCCATTGCCGCGTTACTCGAGCGGAATGTCGTCTTGTGCCGTCGGCTCCGGGCAGCTCATCCGTAATTGGCTTGCTGGTGGTGACAGCGCAAATGTACACGCTTTAGTAAATTAGTGGTAAAAATTTATATATATATAAGCTGCGAACGGGTTACTTGACGATGAGAACACTGCATGGGCTGGCCCTGCCCGAGCAAGACCAGCGAAGTGGAAACAGTCGAGGCCTCTGGGATTGACTCTGCACCTGATCTCCATCTCTGGAGCAGAAGTGGCATCAAATTATGTAATTAATTAATATTTGAATGTATTAATTTGTACATTCATTAATGAGGCTACAAAAGATTGGCGGTTAACTGGCCTGCCAACAGATCCGTTTTTATGGATTTGTAGGTTCAATTCACGGACGCATCTGCTCGGTAATTCCCTTGTGGAATTACCAAAGCCGTAAGGTGGTCATTAAAAAAAAAAACCTCCGGAACGTTCTTCGCCCATGACATAGCCCAGAACTCATCCTCTTCATAATTACATGCACCTTAATCACAATAGCATAATTATTGTCCCTGTGCGGCCATGAATAAATTAAACAGGGCTGATTGACGCTGCTGATGTGGCCCTGAAAGTCAAAGCCGGTCCAGAGTTTGCTCTCTCTAAACAAACCCTGCTGGACACTATCGTTCTGGAAAGCCTATAAGCTGATGGACAAAACAATATATATGGGGAGAGGAATGGCTGGGACGTTCATTTATTTAACGAAAAAATAGGTCACCCTTCTAAAAGATATAATGAACCTCTGTAGGCTCTCATTTTGTTAAATACAGATGTTAATGTATGAATCTCATTACCCTCAGGCAGAATGAAGATTCCCCAAATACACTCCACCTCTGTGTCACGAGAGGCTGGAGCAGCGCCATTGTATGCGAATGCATAGGGAATATTTTGCGCTCAGAATATACAGCGGTGGGAATCAATGTATTAATGAACGCAGGTAAAACATCAATATGCTGGCTAGCAGCAGCATCGTTAACAATATGAAATAATATAAATTCAATGTAAAAGATTTAAATGTCCAAGTGAATCTGACGTGACAGTATGTTGTGAATACAATCACTGTGAAAACGTAAAGATGCATAGATTGAATTTCGATTGAAAGCTTTCGTGACTGCAGGGATTCATATTCTTGGTTCTTTCGGTAAAGTCGCATAGAAGGGAATAACAAAATGTACATAAAACATATTAAATTCTCACGACGTTTCGGCACAACGCAAGCAGCACTTTTCTATTGTGTACACTGTCTGCAGTATATCATCCTCATGAGATCTTTCGGTCGTGGAGTTTATTTGAACTTACTTCACCCATGCTGGTCAGTGTGCGGTCTAGGCCACGTGACGACGCTTCACGTGCTCTCAAATTGCACCTGGCCTAGCACAGGCGTCGTGGTGACGTCACCGTCACTGAGTGGCGATTGGCGAGGTATTGGTATTGTGTGCAGCGAGGGGAGAACAATTGACTGATGGGGTAATCACTCGCTGCTGATGTTGAATTCAAATGGACGGATGCATTGTTCGCAAGCCCCATCATACCACCATTCCACTTCATGTAATTAAAACAAATAAACTCAACACATGCGGCAATAAATGAATTCATAAACGAACACATGCGTTCAAAATTAACATACAATTTTCAATGTGGAAATGTGGAAAATTGTAAAGAATTAACGTTGGCACTTTAAATAGTTATTGAAGTGCCTAAACATGCAGCAGACTTAAACAGCACTACCCATGATGACAAAATACAGACTTTTTCCAGCCTCAGTAATGGTGCGTCAACAGTAGAACAGGAAACCGATAAAGCATGTATTGTCAACTTAATGGGATATCACGGTGGCGAGATGTTAACTACCTCGCCTGGTATGCAGGAGATTGTGGGATCGATCCCGACCCCTGAAGCCTGTATATTTGGAGTTTGCATATTTGCCCCGTGGTCGCGTGGATTTTTCTCCAGGTCCTCCAGCTTTTGCTCTCGAAATTTAGAATCATCGTGCGTGAAGAGTATTTGGCTGCTATAAATTTCCGTATGCTAAGCCACTTCGTTGAGCCATCATTTGTGGCCAGGTCTCTTCTAAAAAAAAGAGCAAAATAGCTCAGTGGGCCTTAGCTGTTTAACCGCATGTCATGGTATGAAGTGGAGAGTGCATTAATCGAAATGCAGGCGATGTAGGAATTTGGCTTGAGCAGGACGTGTGGCTTGAAAGGAGAGTGGCCGGTGTTCGAGACGATTGTCGGAATCTAAGCCAAACGATGGACCACACTGAAAAGGGCATGCCACTGGGATGGAGCGGTGAGGGCCCTACTACATATACTTGCATCGTGTGACCCTGAGGGAGGGCGACGGCTCGGGCAAGGCCTTCATCTAGCCATGGATAAAGCATGGATGGTTATGATGATGATGTTAACTACGATAATTAAATTGCGGATACTCAGACGCCGGTTTCCACGAAGCGATGCAGGAATCCACACGAACGAGTCTGCTGCGTGCAACAAACTCGCAAGTTGCCGCGATGGGTTAACCTCGGAGGCACCCGTGTTGCCAAGGCTGACAGCGATGCAATTGGTAAAGCATGCGAACTGGCGCAAGTGGCTAGTTTAATAAATAATGAACGTATTACCATAAGTGGCAGCGATAATACTAATGTATTTCTTTTTAATCCGAAAAATATTTTTTTTTGCTAATTGTACCCACACATTTGGACGTTTCCTGAGTAACGGCTGCTCTAATTCATCACATTCAGATACTCACGCGAGCACACGTGCACGCACTAATGCGCGTGTGCATCATCATCGGCACGAGCGTCCGCTTTCGCAATCGGCAGGCGCACAATCGGGGGGGCTTTTATTCGTGCAGCATAACGGCACGCGATATTGCCCCGCGTTATCGCACGCAAAGGGGGGTGTGCTTGTATTAAATTTAATAAGGCTTGCTGCTCGCGCGCGCTCGCGTGCACGCGTGCACGCGCACACGAAGCGACGCCCACGCTCACGCACGCCCGCTCCGCTCGCTCCGCCCGCAACGCGCAACTCCTCCAGCGGCGACGTGGGAGCACAACGCTGCGCCGTTACTCGTCGGCCGTAGTATTCGCCGCACGCCCACGCGGATTTTTTTTTTAAATAAAATGTCCTGACGAGCACGTGGTCGTAAAGAAAAAAAATACGCGGCGACAAATGAGCGAATTTTTGGATTTAAAGCTTTCGTGACTGCAATGATTCATCTTTTATTCTCATTCTCATTCTACGTGACTTTACCGAAAGAACCAAAGAAAATGAGCGAATGTTTGCGTGTTGGGGAGGGGGGGCCGGTTGGTTTGTTGGATTTTGACGTAAATAAAAAGAAATGTGTGCATTGCCCGATTTTCTTCCTCGGCGCCAGCGATAAAGGCGGACAAACCCCTCAGTGTTATTGATTGATTTTGGGGTTGAGTTGACCCGCAAGAAGTCCACACCGCAGATGTGCACACACACACGCCGCTTGTCGCCGATGCAAGTCTGTTATTGCTTGTCCAGGAAAGCTTCGGTGCGTTTCTTCAGGTCTTGGGCATCCCGCTTAGGATGGTGTTTGCTGCTTCATTTAGTTATCTGTATGTTTGTCTTTTCCCCGCAAAATTGTTCTAGTATTCCTATTGGGCTGACGGGCAAATTTGGCAATCCATTAAATATCTACCATGGTGGGGTAATGAGGAGGAGCTTGTTTAAAAACCTGCACTGGCAGTTTTGGATAACACACAATTATAAAGTACAATGCATTTATATAAAGTCTAAATGTGACCATACCTTGAGGTGCTGCTCAGAAAGAGTAGGCGTATTTAGTTTATGGCCAGAGACAGTCAAGGGCAGATGACTAAAGGGAGATCTTGAGCCTGGACATGAACAGGGCTTGACAGCGCAAGATGGCTGGGAGAAGGCAGTTCCAGACAGTAGTGGAGAATGAGTGACCTAATGAGTAAATGTTTACTTTGGGGGGGGGGGGGGCTGGCTTCGATGGATGACCTTGGTTGTTGGAGCAGAGAGTGTGTGGAGGAGAGAAGTCGTCAGAAAATTTCATGAAGGGGAGTAGAGGAAGAGAGAGAGGCAGGAGGCAAGTTCATGGAGGATCTTGAAGATGATAATGAACGATCTTGATATTGATCTGGGATTGGATTGGTAGCCTTTGAAACGCTTGCAGTCATGGTTTGATGGCTGCATATTCATGATTAAATGGATCACAAGCAGATCCATGTGAACGCATGCCACGTGAACATGCTCGGCATTCATACATCACAAGACAAAGCAAAGACAAATATCCCACATGTAGCCTTTAACAAACTATTGGGGCAAGTGCTGTTGAGCGAGCGCCTACGAAGGCGGGCACAGCACACGAGGGGTGGGTGACCAATAACACGCCCGGACGCCTTTGTCTCCCTCGTGGCGATGTTTGCACATTCTACCAGGACCGGTATATATTCGTCACTGTTGTTGTTCATGCGCAAGCATCGAACTCGGTTCGCCAGGTGCGCTCACAGCGACACCGCTGCTCCCCATATCGCGCGCACGCAAACGCATGCGTGCGCGTGCGCGAGAGAGAGAGAGAAATCTAAACTTCGTGCTCTCGACATTCTTCCTCCCCCTTTGCACCCCTTCCCACCCACCGCCTTGATGCGCTCGGCCCGCAGAGCTATGAGGTCCGCATCCCGGCCGACCAGGGCATCGCGGGCCACGTGGCCACCACCGGGGAGGTCCTCAACATCAAGGACGCGTACTCGCACCCCCTGTTCTACCGCGGCGTCGACGACAGCACGGGTTTCCGTACGCGCAGCATCCTCTGCTTCCCCATCAAGGACGAGAACGAGGGTGAGCACCCGTCTCGCCCACCCGTCGTCCGAGCGTCGCTCCCTCTCCTCCTCCTCGTCCACGCGTTCCCTCGGCAGCTGTTGTGCACGGTTACCGGTGGCGCCGAGCGCTTAGTGGGGGCGTGTGGGGGCGGGGGGGGGGGGGTCTGAGTATGAAGTGTTAAGTTTTGGGGTGAGAAGCGGAGTGGGATGACGACACGCGCCTTTTCACGATTCATAAAATGCGAGCGAGATGGCGGAAGAGATGTGGACAATGAATGGGTGCAGTGCGATAAGGCAAATGGTGAGTGGGGTCCTTGGGCAGCCGCACGTCGCGACAAAAGGGATGATGGCCCGTTGGTCACGGATTGTGACGGAGCGGCAGCCGAGGGATGGGATGCATCCGAGAGGATGTGCCGAGGAAATTGAGCGATGAAGTTGGCCGTCTGTGTGCGGGCGGTAGGTGGATTGTTTACATTGCGGAATCCGGAGCGGTGGCTGCAGCTTCGTGGAGGCCTTCATTCAACCGTGGATTGACCACGGGTGATGATGATAATGATAACGTTGAATTTAAATAAAACTACAGATGTCGTGAGATGAGAGGAGAGTCGGATAAGATGGAGATGAGAGTTATGAAATAACTTTTTTGTAATGTTGATTAAGCCTGTTGTGTTTATTATGATTGAATTTTAAGCTGATATTTTATGCTCCTCTTGGTCTACTTGGTGCCTCACGATTTTTATTTTGGTTTGCTTGGGCCGAGCGCTGCCGCTGGTTTAATACGGTTGAAGAAGTACCGCGTAGGCGTTCATGATCATACAGCTCTCTGATATGTGTGTTTGGCACGACGCTCGATATGACGCTCCACATGCTGGGAGCTTCTTCAGCAACTGAACACCTTTAACAACTGAACAGTCACTCTCGTAGATCAGTGAAATTGACAAATTTGGTCAATGACGCTGGAAAACAATGGCCTACGCATTTCTAATTACACCAATGGATCGTTATCGTCCTACTCCGAAGCAGACTGTGTATACTTTAGAGTAAATACACATGCGGTGTTAAACAGGGCAGCCTACTGGATTCGAACCGCGCACCTCTGCAATAAGCTGGGCAAAGTGCAATCCCTGGGCTTTTGTCATTGCCCGCCGGGCCATTAACATTTGGCTACAAAATAACTGTTGTATAAAAGGCACTGAAATTCCACACATTTGTAGAAGCGTCCACTACTTTGTTACAGCCGAATATTGTTGTTGTTTTTAAGAAGCTTCTGCACCAGATGGAATAACCGTGAAGATCAGCAAAGAATGTTGGGTCAGAAAATGATCAAACTTAGTTACAAAATGATTGCGGGGAAAGGAAAAATACCTCAATTGTGGACCGATGCCTCAATAATTATTGTATTCACAACGGAAGATAGGACTAGTTTGAAGAATTACAGTGCCATCAACCCCTTATCGCGCATATTTAAATTGTTCACAAAAACAATAAAGAAATGATTAATGGATATTTAAAAGGCCGAATAACAGAGTGAACAAGCAAAGGTTTGTTTGTCCTGTTACCTTAATTCATACCATCAATTAATTTCTATAAAAAATATAAGTGAGCTTCAAACGGCGTTAAGCCTCTCTTTTGCACACTTTTAAAGGAAATTTGAGTTGGCAACAATAATTGATGGCAGTCGTTTAAAAAAATAAATGTTGAAATTATCAACAGCGTTCATGAAGATGGGACTGAAGTTTACCTAAAGGCATTGGTTTGGTCGACACAAAGGGCTTGAGCACACGGATGAATTATTCACGATTTCAGATTTTCTGGTGACATAGTCATGATAACAACAAATGGTAATGAACCCACAAGAAATTATTGAATAGCTTAACAGAGAGAAGGCTGCAATGTTGGGCTCGGCCGGGCACAGCTTGTTCTCTGAACAAAACGACTATAATTACTTTTGGAAGGACATATCTGGAAATAAAAAACAGTGTGTGTGTGTGTACAGTATATCGAAGGCAATTACGGAAGGGAAAATTGTGTTGGTGACGCTGTGTTGGCAGTGGTGCATACGCGGAATTAACACAAAACCTAGCACACTCATCAGCACCACTGTAAGCTTCACATAACACAATATATATAGAACAGGTTGACATATTGGGCATGGAGAAGGGCGATTACCCGAAGCATCAACTATGAAATGTATTTCCTTTTACAGCAGTGTTATTGTTTTTTGTATGTAAAAATATTACATATGAAACACTACACTCTGTTTTTGTTTCATTCGCCACTGCCTTGATATGGCAAAGCAAGAAAAGCTGGCGAGCGTGGTAAGACCTGAGCGGCTATACCGGACAGCAGCACCCACGCCAGTCGGGAAGTCCACAGCATGATGCGAGACGAAATGTGCTCCATTCACCAACCCACACCACACAAATCGCAATTATATATACACACACATAGTACACACACATAGTACATACACATAGTACATACACATAGTACATACACATAGTACATACACATAGTACATACACAGTGTACATACACAGAGTACATACACAGAGTACATACACAGAGTACATACACATAGTACATACACATAGTACATACACATAGTACATACACAGAGTACATACACAGAGTACATGCACATAGTACATGCACATAGTACATGCACATAGTACATGCACATAGTGCATCCACATAGTGCATACACATAGTGCATACACAGAGTACATACACATAGTACATACACAGAGTACATACACATAGTACATACACATAGTACATACACATAGTACATACACAGGGTGTTCATAAAAGTATAGATATATAACCGACAGAAGCTCATTCATGCTAATCTCCCTCCCTAATCCCTCTCCCCCTAATCTCCCCCATTAACACAACTGACGTGCTTACGTCCGTGGATGGAATTTTTTTTTCCAGCACAGACCCCGCTTGCTTGCCCATCGCCACGTATATAACCTTGATTTGAAGCTTTCGTGACTGCAGGAATCCATACACTTTGGTTATTTCGGTAAAGTCACGTAGGCAGAAAATGAAATCAATCACGACGTTTTGGGTGCAACACAAGCGTCCATCATCAGGTGGGAAAGCATGGTCTGCTGCTGAGGCAGACCATAAAAACAGTCTGCCTCAGCAGCAGAAGTTGATCATGCAAAGCAACATATACAGCATGTACGCCGTGTTCCAATATAGGATCATTTGCAATCGGTGCATATTTTCTGCAATGACACATGGATTCGGAAAACAGGGGGATGCTGATGACACTAAAGCTGAAAAGTACACAGAGAAGCATGGATGTGTTCTCGAAGTTCCACAGGCCATGAGAAATAGGAATACATTGATCACAGAACAAATAAAAATGAGAACAGTAAACGGGTTAGTACAGGTTACAGGGCACGTCTCTAGAGAGGGTGATGGCCGATGGAGTGGCAGCCAAAGGAATGAAAGTTGCCAAGACGAGCGATGAGATTGGATCGTGCGCCGGGGTGAGGTGCGTTCTGGCATAGCAAGAATGTACGGCGAAGGCAGCGACGTTGGGGAGGCTCTCACTCAGCGGTGGATCGATCATGGCTCTCGGATGAACACGCTCTTTCACATCCACTATTGCACACACTCTAGGCAAGTTGTCTCTTCTCCAAAAAGCACATACGGACGGCTATGAGACGAAATATGGGCACATCAAAAGAGGTGGAGCAGACGGCCAAAAAATGTTGGCCGTGTTCCTGTGCATCTATCTACCTGTGGCGTGGCTTAATTTAATTTCGCACGAAATCTGCTTGGAGACCCGCAATCTGCGCTCCGGCACCTGCGCTTTGTTCCACGGCGAAAACCAATGAGGCAGTAAAGTTCTACCTGCTCCGAAGCCATTGCGTGGCTACCAAGCATTAACTCGCAAACGGTTTCGCTCGTCTTGCGTCCGTTAATGGCCCTGCGCTTGGAGGCGTAATTGTTTCTTTTTTACTGCCGCTTTGCGTCACGGCGGAAGTGAGCGTGCAGGGGAGATGTGGCCTTCGATTTCAACGAGGCGGTTGCATCACGAATCGGTCTGGAAAGCAAAAACGCCAATATTCGCATGATGTTGTTGTGACCTTCCAAACATTATTTACGCTTGCGGATTCGATTGTTGGCATCATCATCGTCATCTATTTTTTTCAACCTTTGCATCTTGCCATTCATATTTCAATATTTCAAACGTAAAAAAAGCTATGGAGACATTATGCTTGCGTATAGCATTTAAGAAATGGAAAGGACATGCTATTACTGAAAGAAATTGTTTTTTTGTGGTCATAAATGGCACAATACACCTGTATAATGCCAATTTTAGTTATTTACAGCTGGTTTATTTGTGATGTGCAAGTCCACTGTGCATCCAACTTTACTCAGTTTCAAATATCAACAGATATTTTTTTGTCCTCAGACTCTTATCTTGCTTTCCATTTCTCTCACAAAACACATGTAAATATAAAACATGTGTTGGCTGGGTTATCCATCGGTGGTACTGTGTGGTTATTTTCTCGTCTCGGTAAAATATTTTCGCCAGCATATTCCAATTGTGCCGTGAGATGAACAGTTCGTTTGTAAATCTCACACAGCGGTATGTCACAGAAAGACAGAGATCTGTCAAAGGTTGTCTCCAAACAGTTCCTTCAAGTGACCTTTTTCAGTCCTGTACAGAGTCTAGGGGACACTATCGTGTACACTTCGCTGTCACCCGATAGTCAACAACCTCCATTCTAAATCCTCGGTGCTGGATTTTAAACAAATTAAGTGAATGCATACATTTTATTAAACGATAGCTCTTTTGCCCAGTCATTGGTGTGGCCGAGCTGCAACTCGAGAGCCCTGCTTGTAATCACGGGTGGCTGAAACGAAAAATGATAACCAAGCTTTCCACAGTGAACAGCTTAGTGTCCATGACCTTGGTGCCATCTGACCACTTGGTGCTGTGTGGTTCTTAAAACTGATAGTGCTGGTTCCGTTTTCCAATTCCATAATCTGCCT